CTCCTCATCTCCACCTGCTAGCTTCTCTGACTTCCTTCAAGTTTCATCTTAAGTCTCACCTTCTGTGAAAATCCTTTCTCAGTCAATCTTAGTACTTTTCCTCTGAGATTATCTCTAATTTATCTTATACATATCCTTTTGAACATAGTGGTTTGCATGTTGTCTTGTCCATTAGACAGTGAACTCCTTAAGAACAGGGCTGTCTTTTGTTTTGTTTTTGCTTTTATTTTTATGCCCCAGAGCTAAACATGGTGCCTGGTACGTAGTAGACATTTAATAAATGACTTCTGACTTGATTTGATAGGGGGGCTCTTCAGCTATGGTTTTGAGTGGTTGTGGACTCATAATGCAGCCCCTCACTCACATGTAAAGCCCTGAGCACACACACAAAGTAATTTGTGGAAACGTCTGATATATAGTCTCAGTAGGGTTTTCTGGTGGCTGCTATGTATTGGTGAATATCATAGCCCTCTATTCCAGTCAATTATCTCACTTTGGGTTAGACTTCTCCCAAATCCTCTCTGGTTTAGTATGAAAATAAATTTGAGCCAAAACAAAAGTTAACCTAAGATTAGATCATTGTTCTCTAATCACCTATTCTTAATTCTTGACTTCCTTATGAATATTTGTAATTGGCAAAATTCATTGCTTTGGTGCTGCAATTTGTAGGGAAAAAAATCTCATAGTCTTCTTCTATTTGTAGTCTTAGAATCATAGAATGTCAGGAATTAGAGGAAACTTTATCACTCAAGCAAAGTCATCACATTATTTCTTTTCCCATATTCTTTATTTCTCTTGATGGAACAAACATTTTTGTAATTCCTGTAGTTCAAACCTATCTTGAAGTGTTAAAAAATGTCTTACGTTTGTACTTTGAAGCCATTTCTGAATCTCCACTCCCCAACTGAGTCCTCTTTTGTATCAAAGAAAAACTATAAAAAACAACCAAAAAAACAAACCCAACAACGAATGCGGTGACCACAGTGATCAGTTCTGCGCACCCAGAGTACCTCACCTCTTTACTAAAAGGAAGGAAGGGTGTCTCATCATCTGTTATTTGGTACCAAGACTGGTCATTGTAATTGTGCATGGTTCAGTTTCCTCTTAGATTTTTTTTTCTTAAATTTGCGTTATTGTAGTCATCGTATCTATTGTTCCCTTGGCTCTGCTTATCTCTCTCTTAATTACTTCAAGTCTTCCTATGTTTCTCTGAATTCCTCATATTTGCCATTCTTCAGAGTAATTTTTTACTACTGTTTCTCTACATCCAATCAGTTACCAAATCCTGATGACTCATCTTCAGCAATATTTCCTCCTGTCTCCTCTTTAGCCACCACCCTAGTTCAGTAACTCATTTCTTCTTATCTGCACTATTGTGACAAGCCCCTGTTTTCGTTGTGTGGGTGTGGGTGGAGCTACTCATCCCCATGAACTTGACTTTCTTACCTACTCTCTTGGGTCCATCCCTCTGGGAGGGAGTTTCCTATCAAAACAAGTCCTGGATAAAAATAAATAAATAAATAAACAAGAATTTGAAAGAAAGGAAGTGAGAAAGAAAGAGAAAGGAAGGAAGGAAGGCATGAAGTAATGAACTAATGCCCCTTACTCCAATATCAGTCAGGCTAGACACAAATCTAGCCACTATTCTGTCTTCCCTCTGCCTCTAAGATTGCTGAGGAGAGAGAGAGAGAGAGAGAGAGAGAGAGAGAGAGAGAGAGAGAGAGAGAGAGAGAGAGAGAGCACCCATATAAGAATTACCTCTGCCTTGAAAAACTATAAAAAATTAATCTTCAGCTCTGAGTCCCTCAGACAGGGAAATGTTCTGGCAAAACACCATAGTTGTAAATTCCTATCACAGGTGCTACCTTATGGCCCTTCTCCAATATATTTGAGGATAGCCGCACATGTTTTACCTATGCAATGATTATTTCTCTGTCTCTCTATCTCTGTTCCTCTCTCTCTGATTTTCAACTTTTTATTTTTATCTTCTTCCTTAATACATCACCACACCTTGCTCTATCCTTAACATGCTTATTACGGGTGGTCCTAGGAATCCCACCCTTTTCATATTTATTATCTTTATTATATTATCCTTATATTATTATATTTAAAAGACAACATAAACAGAAATGAAACCCGGGCTTCTATGGACATGCCTAGTTCTAACATGGAGACACCCTCGAACATGTCTTTTTGAGCATCCCCAATTTACCTGCTATGGAGCTAGCTATGTCACCTACCACATGGATGGATGGAGTCTCCTTTGATTGGCTTCCTATGTCTTTAAAACTGGCAAGACTGAGTCATTAGATCTTTTTTGCTACTCTCTTCTCCACCATGTTTTCTAATGTGCCCAACCTGGATGACATGAACTGAACCAGTGAGAGGGGAAGAAATGTGTTTTTCCTCTTCCCTCTCTTTTATCCTCAACTCTGAAAAATGGGCATGGCGGGGTATTTGTTTCTGTTTCGCACTGTTTGCCCTCTTCAGTTTCAGGTGCTAGAGGAGATCCTCATGAGACTAGGAGTCTGAGCCATGGCTTAGTCTTGGAGCTAGGATTGCAGGTGGGGTGGTGCAGCCAGCCAGGATGTCATGGAGACGCTGAGAAGCCAGGGTGCCTTCGACTCGAGCCCATGGAGGGTCTTGGACTTGGAACTGGAACTGGTGTTCTATGGGAACCAAGCTGAACTATGAACCTAATCCTCTTCCCCTCCCCAGAGACAGAGAGGGCATTATGCCTCCACTTGCTAGGAGTGTATTTGTATATTTGTGATTATATTTTCTGAAGTAAATATTTGTAATTTCCAATCTGTCTGTTTGTGGCTAATAGAAATGGGGTACAGGAGCACACCCCCTATACTTAAGGGAGGGACACAATTACTGGGGACTGGAGCCAATGGCAGAGAACCTAGACCCCCAAATCCCTTTAATGATACTGGAGAAACCAAAAGGTGGAGTGAAATGTAACATACTTGACTTGTTACAGAAAGGTAAGCAAACTGTTAAGAATTGAAGGTAAGTTACAGAAAATAAGGGTACACACACAGGCTCTGAAGAGAGACAGAGGGGAAGAGAAGAAAAGAAAAAATAAAAAAAAATCACTCTTGTATGGGGCTGAAGTCTGAGAGGCAAGTTTCAGTAATATGTCATCCATCCCAGTATGCCTGGTGTGCTATCTGTCCACACAGTTCTGGCTCTAGAGTCTGGCTCCAAATCTTACAGCTGAACAGCTTCCTCTTTCCCAGGAGACAGTCTTCAGCTTAGTTACTCAACACCTTCCCCTCCATATCCCAACACACGCATGCACGCACGCACGCACGCACGCGCGCGCGCGCACACACACACACACACACACACACACACACACACTCAATGTTCTGTGTTAATGCATTCTCCAGTGGCCACCATCCTTTAGCCTAGGAGAATGAATCTATGAGTCACATCAGACCCTTTCAATTTGTCCCTAGGTTAGGGCAAATCCCTGGGTGATTGAAAGGGGAGATACTGGTGTGATTTTTGCCAGAATCAACAGGCAGCCATCTCCACTGTCCCGATCTCCTTGTTAACACCAAGATGGTACTATGTATATATTACATTTGTACAAATTGTCCCCCTCCAAAAAAAAAAATAACAGCAGAAAGTAGTGCAGAAACATATCCTAACCCATTACCCTTCTTGTACCTATTCTGCATTTCAGTCAAATTGTAGGAAGAGAGAATGACAAGCAGACAGACATAAACAGATACAGCAAGACACAAACAAAAAACACCATGCGTGTATACCCAGGCAAATTGAGATGATATGATACGCACAAAAATCAATGGATTCAGGAACATCAGGTTGTATAAGCCGAAAAAGGCAAACGCAGAGAGTGTAGAAAAAGGGAAGTGGGGCAGGGAGGCTTAGATTTTTGCAGTGTTTATGTTCCCTTGACTGTGGACATCAGATTAAGTTATCATTGCTGTGTGCTGTGTATCTGTAGCACTTTGAAACAGTCCTCGCTGTACCAGGAAGCGTCTTGACTGTGGACATCAGATTAAGTTATCATTGCTGTGTGCTGTGTATCTGTAGCACTTTAAAACAGTCCTTGCTGTACCAGGAAGCGTCTTTTCTGTTTTTATTTTCAAACTTCTAAGTTTATTTTATAAGCGATTATATTCCAATGGAATTCTAAAGTTTCTTTTTTCTTTTTCTGCAGCATGTGAAGGAATGACATGTTTTAGAAATTTACTTTGATTCATAGCATGTCAGCCTATTTACTCCCAAATGCTTACAAATCTCATCAAAAGCTCCCCAAATTGCCTTATTCCACTGGTCCTGAAATTTACCTCTTAAAACCAGCATTTCTTGAATTCTTCTGGGACTTTAATCTTTTGAAAATTCACATCAAATCCTTTTTTGTTTCTTTTGGTTGGATGGGGAGCTGAAATATAGAATAGGAGGGGAAACCAATTTGGTTAGAACACCATTCAGAAACAAATGGGTTATAAAGTCATAAGGCATTGAATTTGAGTTCTTTTCCTGCCGCTCTTGGGCACCTTTCTTAGCCTCAGTCTCATTCTCTGTAAAATGGTGATAGCAGTGAATCTCCCAGGATTGTAAAGTACTTTTTAACCATGCTGAGCTATACAGATGTGATATGATTAATTAGCAAACCCTGATGATTCCGGCAAAGCAAAGCAAAGCAAAGCAAAGCAAAGCAAAGCAAAGCAAAGCAAAGCAAAGCAAAGCTTCCCCACCACCCCCAACAAGGGCTTAGCAGTAAGGAAATTTTTTAAATCTAGATTTCTGTCCATTTTAAAATGAGAATAGTAAAAGGGGAAGACATCTTTCTGTGAGTCAGAGGAGAAGTCTTCCTGGGTGGAGGTAGAGAGAGATTGAAGGGCCCCTCCATTAGAAAATGAGGGAGTTCCCACTCCCCACTCTGGGGGAGCCAGAAGGAAGATTGACAGGTGTGCCAAGACAAATGTCATTTGTGCTTCTTGTTTTCAAATATACTTTAAGAAACTAAACAAAGAAAATTAGTTCAGCAGCCCCTCAGGAAAAGGCCAGTCATTTCCTGAGTAGCTATCAAACCCGGCCAGAAGCTCATTGTTTCCAGTTTCCAGTAATGGCAGCTATTACCTGACCAGTGAATGCCACTGGCCGTTTGCTATTCACAAAGAGGAAAAACCTTCCAAGAGTGATTCTTAATTTTTCACACTAAAGCTTGCTTGTCGATTGCCTCTTTTGAAGACAACCTTTCTTACCAGCTCCCCTGGTTGGACTTAACCTTCAGCGAACGAGCGTTCCCAGGTTCTAGACTGGGAAACTATTACTCCAAGACAAGATGTATCTGGCTCTTCTGGGGATGCTTTGGTTCTGTAAGTTTTTTATTTTCATCTTAGTCTTTAAATTTTGTAGGACTTGAAGTTTCTGAGATAGTGACACTTCATCTTTTTTTTTTTCAGGTCCAAGACTGAAAGGTCAAGAAAACTGTAAGTTATGGCATTTCCTACCTCTTTCACCGCTTTCTGTCTTACCCATGTCTAGGATGATAGATTTAGAGTCAGAGACTTTTTTTAATATAAATTTGTTTATTTTTAGTTTTCAACATTTACTTCCACAAGATTTTGAATTCCAAATTTTCACCCCATCTTGCCCCTCCCCCGCCCCAAGTAGAGTCAGAGATTTTGGAGGTTATGTAGTCTAACTCTCTCATCTTACAGATGAGGGAAGTGAGTCAAAAAGAGGTCAGACAGCTTTCTTTCTGCTACACCACATTGTGTACTTTGGAATTTTATAAATTAAAATTAAACCTATTTGTTGACAATTTTAATGGGTGGATAAAAAGCCAGAAGCTTCTCTTTTGGGAGATCAGACAAAGATATAAAAGTATGATCCTATTAGCACACATGCAAAAAAAAGTTTTTGCTTGGTCCAAAATACTTGCATTTAACAATAATATTTGAAATGTTATGAAAATTCTAATTCCAAGTGGGCAGCTCTTTGGTTTTGGGAAAAAGTGGAAAAAGTGAGCCACCTTATAATCTTTATTTTCTCTTTCTACTGCCAATCTCACTCCCATTCAGCACACAAAGGAATTTTTTTAGACACCAGCAGAGTTTAAGTGCTTAGTCATTACTGTGATTTTTTTTTTCTTCACAAATAATTGATTGGGTTTATGTTTGATCCCACCAAGTAACTCAGAATCCTATAATTAGAGAGAATAAGGCATGTGCATGTGTGTGTGTGTGTGTGTGTGTGTGTGTGTGTATCTTTGAAGATTTATTGATGAAGTGAAAATTATATATTTGGAAATTTGGTTTGGGATATGAAATGTATATGAAATAAGGGATTTGTTTTAGCATTTTGAAAGAGTTTGGCATATTCAAGTAGGTCTGGGAACAAGAAGGAAGAACTTTATGTAGTTCGGTTGCTGAATGGGGAGGAAGTAAAACTGAGGCTCTGGAAAAATGTGTGGAAATATGTTGCTGTTAAATTGGCCTTTAAGTTCAAATTATTTGAGTGTCTTCTGGAGAGGCAACATAGGGACATTAGTACAATAGTAGAGACAGCAGTGGACTTAGAGTTGGAAAGAACTGGGTACAAATCCTGTCTCAGACAATTATTAATGTGATTGTAGGCAAGTCAGTTTATTTCTTTGTGCCTCAGTTTCCTCATCTGTAAAATGAAGGGATTAGGCTTCATGACCTTTTAAGTCTTCTTCTAGTTCTAGTTCTCTCTCTCTCTCTCTCTCTCTTTCTCTCTCTCACTCAAGGGTGAGCATTTAGTACTTTCCAAAGTACTTTCTCCAAAATTTGATTTCTATGATAACCTTGCAAGATAAGACAAGCAAGCACTATTATCTTTAATTGACAGATTAGCATACAAGACCAGAGAACAGAAGTGAGTTTTTCAAGGTTATGTAATAAATTAGTGGTGGCATGGGGATTAGAACACAAATCTCCTGTTTTGCAATCCACTTTCCTTATCCACAAAATGGGAACAATGTAAGCTAACCTAATCGCTTCTCAAGGACACATCTCTCAGGTCTGGAATGCTCTCCTTCATCTTAGAATCTCTGGTTTCCTTCAAGTCTGGGCTCAGGAACCACCTTCTGCATGAGGCCTTTCCTGGTCCTCCAAAGGTTACCTCAAATCTGTGTTTTGTATATGTTTACATGTGTACATCTGTACACACACACATCTCTCTCTCTCTCTCTCTCTCTCTCTCTCTCTCTCTAACAAATATGTATTATATATATACATATATACATTATCTATATCTATCTATGTATCTGTCTATCTACCCTCTTTGCTTCAGAATGTAAGCTCCTTAGAGGCAGGGATTTTTTCAATTTTATCCTTACTTCTTTAGTGCTTACCACATTGTCTGACACACAGCAGATGCTCAATATTTAAATGCTCGTTGATTGATGAGGGCAAAGAGTCTTTTTTAAAAAAATTAATTTATTTTTAGCTCTCAACAATCACTTCCATAGGCTTTTGAGTTTTAAATTTTCTCCCCTTCCTTCCCCACCTCCTTCCCAAGACAGCATGCAATCTGATCTAGGCTGTACATATACATTCCTATTAAACATATTTTCACATTAGTCATGTTGTAAAGAAGAATTAGAATCAATGGGAGGAACCACAAGGAAGAAGAAACAAAACAAAACAGAAGAAAAACAAAAGACCAAATAGTATACTTTGATCTGCATTCAGACTGCATAATTCTTTCTCTGGATGTGGATAGCATTTTCCATCATGAGACTTGGAAATGTCTTAGATCCTTGCATTGCTGAGAAGAGCTAAATCTATCAAAATGAAACCCAATCCCTTCATTTTACAGATGAGGAAACTGAGGCACAAAGAAATAAATTGACTTGCCTACAGTAACATTAATAATTTTCTGAGACAGGATTTGAACCCAGTTCTTCCCAACTCTAAGTCCATTGCTGTCTCTACAACATTCTCCTGGTTCTGATCACTTCATTCAGCATCAGTCCATACAAGTTTTCCCAGGTTTTTCTGAAGTCCTCTTGCTCATCATTTCTTATAGCACAGTAGTATTCCATTACATTCATATACCACAACTTGTTCAGCTATTCCCCAATGGATGGGCATCCCCTCAACTTCCAATTCTTGGCCACCACAAAAAGGGCTGCTATAAATATTTTTGTACATGTGGGACCTAGCAAAAAGTCTTTTGGAAAATTGAAATTCTATCATTTTGCATGGTCTTAGTAAGTTTAGCAAGAATTCCGAGACTCTTGGTTTTGTGTCTGCTTTTAATTTAAGTAACAATGTACATTTAGAGCCAGGATAGACAGCCAGGCCTGGAGTCAGGAAGACCTGAATTCAAATCTAGTCTCAGACACTTACTTGCTGTGTGACCCTGGGTAAGTCACTTAATCCTCTTTGCCTCAATTTCCTCATCTGTAAAATGTCCTGGAGAAGGAAATGGCAAACCATTCCAGTATCTCTGCCAAGGACCCTCCCCCCACAAAAAAAAGGGGTCCCAAAGAGTCAGACATGACTGAAGTGACTAACCAATGACAATAACGGCAATGTGCATTTAGGCTAGTTACTTCTCTCTAGGTCTCAGTTTCCTCACTGGTAAAATGAGGTGATTGGGCGATCTCTAAAGCTTCTTCCAGTTCTTATATTCTATAATGATTGCAGTCCACAATCAGGAGGACATTTGATCTTATTTGGAAATGTTTGAGGATTCTTCTTGCCCCAGTAATGAGGAGAGGAAGAGAGCCACGTGACTGGCTGATTTCATCTCAGTGGGTCACCTCATGTGAATGAGCCAGTGAGATGGCTGACTAGGAACAGGGACACAGTCTGTGGTCACACAGCTGCGTAAAACTAATTGGTTCCCATGGCGATTGAAAAACATGACTTCAGCCTTATAAGATTCAGCTCTAAACCAACAGAACTGACCAGCTGCATATTTGAATGACTAATTGCATGGGATATCGGTTAAGTCCAGAAAGTTGGGAGGGGGGGATGTAGACGTCAGAGAATAATGGAGGAAGACAGTGGAGAATGGGATAGTTAGGGGTTTGTCCCTGGTTGCTATAATGGCAGCAGGCCTACTATCTTGTTGCCAAGCAACCACAGAAAAAAAAGGACAAGGGAGATGAGACCCAGGAAGAGAGGGAGACATTTACCATAGCCCTGTGGCACCTGTTTTTGTACAGATAGGCCTGGTTTTTAAGCAAAGCCCATGCCTTAGCTGCAGGCTAATGGTCTTCTGTGCTCATAAATCACAGCATTCTATCAGGCACAGACCCTGCTTCTCCTTGAGGACAGGGAAGAGGAGAGAAGAGTCATAGATTAGAAAGCTATTGAATTCCAGAGCAGTGATAGATAGATTTTAGAGATCCTCTCAATCAATTCTTATCCAAAACGTGAATCTCATCGACATTATCTACAAGCCGTCCCTCTGGCCTCTTCTTGAAAACTTCCAGTGATAAGGAACTTAGGGTAGTCTATTCCATTTTTTACAAACAGCTCTGATTATTAGGAACTTTCCTCTTATACAGGATGTCCCAAAAATCTTTGTTCAGTTTTAAGATTTAATGGCTTATTAAAGATGAGGAAACTGAGGCAAACCAGGTTAACTGACTTGTACAGGGTCACACAGCTAGTAAGTGTCTGAGACCAGATTTGAATTCTGGAAGATGAATCTTCCTGACTTTAGGCCCAGCACTCCACCCACTGCTCTGCCTTTTAATAGTTTAGGCTAGTAAATTAATAGTTATCAAAGCTTTAAAATGCACTAAGATTTTTGGGATGTCCTATTTTAATCTTCTATGATTTTCACCCACTGGTCTCAATTCTGCCTTCTGGGATCAATCAGAAGTCTAATCCCTCTCTCACATCCTAACAAACTATCGTATCCCTATCTTTTCTTCTCAGGTAAACCCTTCCCTTCTTCCTCCCCACTACCTCCTATTCTTCTTTCAAAAATAACAACCTTGTAACCATTCGAACACTTGATGAAAGCTAGTTAAGTGGCTCAGGGGGTGATAGAGTGCCTGACCCGGAATCAGTTGAAATTCAGCCTCTCAGACACTTACTAGCAGTGCGACTCTAGGTAAGTCATTTAACCTCTTTGCCAGCCTCAATTTTCTTATCTGTAAAATGAGGATCGTAATAGCACCTAACTCCTAGGGTTGTTGTGAGGATAAAATGAGATAATATTTGTAAAGTACTTTTCAGTCCTTAAAGCACTATATAAATGCTACTTCCTGTTATTATAATGTTAAAATTGTATCTTGCTTTAGTGCCCCTGACTACCTCCCCTACTCCCCACCCCCCCAGTCAGTATAGTAAGTTTATAAGTTGGTTGGTTGCAGTCCTTCGTGCTTGAAGAGGCCAAAATGACATCACTATGTCGGGGCCAAGGTCCAGTGTGTCCAGCTGTGACTGATCAGACCAATACGAGCTCTACCGCAGGTTGGGCACAAATAGTCCATATGAACATTTGGAGTGGAGATGTCTCTAAATTTGTGCATCTCACATTTCTTTTGAGCTACTGCAATTCTGCTTTGCTCAAAGAGTACACAGCACCTTCTTTGATGCCCGAATACCACGTTGGCTAGTCCTGTGCCAGTGTCTTCCATAATTGATCCCAAAGTTCTTCAGAGAGATCTCAAGAGTGTCCTTATATCGCTTCTTCTGACCTCCATGTGAGTGCTAGCCTTGTGTGAGTTCTCTGTAAAATAGTCTTTGAGGCAAACGTATATTTGGTGTTTGAACAACATAGCCAGCCCATTGGAGTTGCTCTCTCTGCATTAGAGTTTGAATGTTTGGAAATTCAGCTTGAGAAAGGACTTCAGTGTCCAGTATCTTTTTACAAGCCAGTATATGATAGCAATATCAGGAAGTAAGATTGCAAAAGGGAAACTAGAAATCTTAAAGAGCATAATTTGCAAATTGTATCATCTATTAACCAAAAATCACATCCTAGTAAATATGTGCTGAATCAGGAGAAGCCCCCTAGGCTTTACTGTCAGGGACTTTTGGTTCCTGATACATAAATCTCAGATAAGTTTCAGACATCCACAGTAAGACCAGCAGAACACCAAAAGGTACTGAGAATTTGAGATGATGTGGACATGTTAACTTTAAAGTTTTCTTGACAATCTTGAAATGATTTGGATATGTTAATGAACTAACCCCAAGGTGGCACAGATGAGAGGCTGTTTTCCCCGAAAAACCCTATAAAATGAGACCCCAAATTCCTGAGCACTCTTCCATCCCCAAAAGGCCTATGCTGCTTGAGTGGCCCCAAATTCTAATCCATGGTTACATGAGAGATTATCTGTGCCTCTCCTTTTCTCGATTTTCTTCCCCATGCTGCCTCCCTCCCCACATTGCTGGCAGAGTGATTTTCCATGCTACTCTCCTATCCAATAAACTCTAATGGCTTCCTATTTTCTCTAGAGTAAAATGTAAACTGTATTTAGCTTTTAAAGCCTTTCACAACCTGGCCTTGATCTACCTTTTCAGACTCACTGGACATTACTTCCTCTCCCACACTGCTGATCCAGTCAAACAGTCCTTTCTATTCCTCACCTATCTGTTCCTCTATCTTCCATTTCTGCTTTTGTCTCAGTCAGCAAATTACTCCTCCCTCACCTCAAGCTCATAGAATTCCGCTCTTCTTTCAAGATGTAGGTAATGCACAATCTTCTGCATGAAGCTTTACCTGATCTCTGTTGCCTACCCCGCCAATCACTGCTAATGTCCTTCCTCTGTAACTACCTTGTATATAACTTCTTAGTATTTATTCTCTTTGTCTTTATTCTGTATATCTTTCTATATCCATTCTCTTAACAACTGCCCTCCCCCCACTCTGACCTCCAGTTTGGGAACTGAATTAAATCATCTTGGTCATTGTTCCTGGATATGGCGTGTCAATCTACTTCCCTACAATCCTACTTTCTATCAGTGTAATTTTTGGACCAAAGTGCCCTTCCTCAGCCTTTGCTCTTCTATGTATATTATCTTCCCCTATTAGAATGTTAGTCCCAGAGACTTTCTTTACTTTGGGATTTGTATCCCTGACACTTAGTAGAGTGCTTGGCCTTACTTGATAAATGATTTATCATCCATCCATTCATATGTGTGTTTATTATTAAGTGTAAGTTTCTTGAAAGGAGAGATTATTCATTCTTTGTGTTTTCATTCTCAACTCCTAGCATGCTGCCTGGAACTTGGTAGACCAGGAGCTGGCCAGTCCAATCCTCTCCAATGCTTGCTTTTATATGCCTGTGAACTAAATGATTTAGACATTTCTATGGTGGGCTGTACAAAAGTAGACCTGGTCAGATTTGTCTGTAGCAGATGTTTAATAAATTCTTTTGATGGATTGATTTTATTTGTTCTAAGCTCACCTTGTTTAAGTTTCACAGGGGGCTTCCTCATTCAAATATACTGGAATTTAGGAAATGTCAATCGATTGACCAATAAGCATTTACTTGTTATATGCCAGTAACTAGGTATACAAAGACAAAGGCGAAACTGTCCCTGACCTCAAGGTGCTTACATATATAGAAGGATGACAGATAGATATGAGGTAATTTGGGGGTGAAGGAGACACAGGAAAAGCTTTATGTAGAAGGTGGTACTTCATCTAAATTTTTGTTTTGTTTTGTTTCTTGGTGAGGCAATTGGGCTTAAGTGACTTGCCCAGTGTTATACAGCTACTAAGTGTCAAGTGTCTAGTCTGAGGCAGGATTTGAACTCAGGTCCTCCTGACTCGAGGGCCGGTGCTCCATCTACTGCGCCACCTAGCTGTCCATTCATTTGAATTTTGAAGGAAACTCAGGGATCCTAAAAGGCTAACATGAGGAGGGAATGCACTCCTGGCCTGGGGGATAGCTGAGAGATGGAGCGTCATGTGTGAAAAACAGTAAGAAAGATTGTCTGGAGTCCAGAGTCTAGACTCTGGACCATAGAGTACATGAAGGAGAATGATATATGTAACGTGCTTTGGGAGATACAGTAGTCCTCCCCTCCCCACTCCCCTAGACACTGAAGTTTTCCCCAAACATCTATTTCTATACTTTGCAAGTTTGGATTGCTGAGCCTCAAAAGGCAAGTTACATTTGCAAAAGAGCTGGAAAGGTATCGTGTTGCCAGGTTATTAAGGGGTTTGAATGCCAGACAAAGGAATATATATTTGACCAAGTAGATAATATAAGAGCAGTGTGCCATAATGGATAGAAAGCTGGCTTTGCATCTAGGAAGACATGGGTTTAAGTTCTGCCTCTGACGCAGGCTGGCTGTGTAACTCTAGACAAATCACTTAACCTCTCAATACTCTAGACAGCTTTCCAAGAATTTCTAAAACTGTAAGTTGGAGAAAAGGTGCCAGTTGTCACGGGTGGAAGTTTCTCCCTGTGAACTCTTTATATTAGTGAAATCACAAGTCCTATTCCTGTCCCCTATCTCTAACCCTAGGAATTATAAGGAACCAATGGAGTTTATTAAAGAGTGGAAATTATTTTGGTAGCTAAGTTGAGGATATCTTGCAGAAATTTGAGGCAGGGATGCCAACTAGAAGGCTGCCTCAATAATTTAGGTGAAGAATGATGAGGTCCTGACCTAGAATAATGACCATGTGAGTGGGAAGAAGGGGATAGATATTAGAGAGGCAAGGAGGTAGAAATGGCAAGACTTGACAATTGCATAGACATGTGGAGTGAATGTGAGTGAGGAATTGAGGATGACACCAAGGTTGTGAACTTGCAAGATTGGAAGGATGGTGTTCTGAAGAGAAATGGAGAAGTTCAGAAGAGAATTTTGTGGAGAATGATTGTGAGTTCCAGTTTGGACAGCTGGAATTTTGCATATGATGAGGTCAGCAAATGAAAGGAGAGAGAGAGAGAGAGAGAGAGAGAGAGAGAGAGAGAGAGAGAGAGAGAGAGAGAGAGAGGAGGGGACCAAGCCTTGGAGAACACCCACACTTAGTGAGGGCAAGATATGGAAGATGATCCATCAAAGGTGAATAAGTCAGACAGTTAGGTAGAGAATGAGGAGAGAACTATGTCATGAAAACCTAGAGAGGGGAGAATATTCAGGAGAGGATGATTGACAGAGTCAAATGCTGCAGAGAGGTCAAGAAAGATGAGGACTGACAAAAAGCCAGCATATTTTGAAATTTAGCCATCTTTGGTACTTTTGGAAAGAGGAATGATGAGATAGGAGCCATACTTCAAAAGGTCTAAAAGTGAGTGATGAGAAAAAGGAGGCAACAAATATAGACAATTTTTTTCCTGGTAGTTTGTCTGAGAAAGAGAGGAGAGGTATAGCACAATAGCTTACGAGGATGGTCAGATTAAGTGAAAGATTTTTATGTTTGGAGTAGATGGTCATAGTTGTAGGCAGTAACCAGAGGAAGAACCAATAATTAGGAAAAGACTGATGATCGGAGAGAAAGAAGTGATGATTGTGGGGGCTGTCACTAAGATGTCCATGTTTATATCTTCTATGGCAATGGACGGTTATTTTGTTTGATTGCATACAAGCTATGTGATGGACCACATGTCTGTTATCTGAGGATCACAAGGTACCGAAAGGTAATGAGACTTTCAACCATAGTAACTCTCAAAGACCATCTATCAAGTTGGGAAAGAAGTTCTAATTTTCATTGGTAGAGAAAGCATGGATCCTTGAAGCATTGAACTATGCAACCATTTCCTCTCTCAATTTTCCCTTTCCAGATGGAAAAGTCCAAATTCTTTTTGTTAGGCCTCATAAAGTGATTCTGCCCCGCTTCAGCAAAACCCCACAAAACCTCACACACAAAAAAGAATAACAACAGAAAATAAAACTATTTTCATTTAGATTACCCTTATTTCTTTGAATCCTTTGCTTCAAGTGGTGGTCAGCATGTCTCTGTTCTCAGTGCAGACCCACCTTATTTTAATTTAAATAAAGGCAAACCAAAGAGGCAGCATGGGACTGTTGTTAAAAATTTGATAATGGAGTCAATAAGACTAGGGTTTAAGTCTTGTTTCTGATTTGTGCAGTGTGTGATCACTGAGAAATCACTTCACTTCTCAGAGTCCCCAGGCAATTCTCCAAGACTAAATTACAGAGGATTTGCTCATCCACAGAAAGGGGGAGTTTCTGTACTGAAAATCTCCTACACTGATGAAATCATTGGTTTGGGAAAACTTAGACTTAGAGCTGGGAAGGGTCTTTGTGGTCATCTAATCCAACCCCCTCTTTTCCAGAAAAGAAAACTGAGGTTCAGAGGTTGTGACTTGCTGGTTATCTTAATGGCCCTGGGAAAGGCATGACTAGATTAAGTGAGAGTCATTGCCCCAAATGGACAATGTCACTTCTTACTGAAATGATTTTCCCCCATCTTTCAACATTCAGCTTTCACCATCAACATGATTGAGATGAAAGCAGAGCCAGGCTGGGAGGTGGAGAATGGTCAGAACCTTATTCTGAAATGCCTCGTGGACATCAGCACCACCTCAAAGCTTCTGTCCCCGCACCAGGTCTTCTTTTACAAGGATGATATTCTGCTCAAGAATGTTACCTCCTGGAATAGAGAAGAGAGCTTTTTTATTCAGGCTGCTCGGATATATGACAGAGGGAATTATAAATGTACGGTGATTCTCAACAACAAGGAGAAAACCACAAGAGATTACTCTCTTTCAGTAAAAGGTAAGTGCATTGCCATGGGGTGCTGCTAAATCAGCAGAAGCTTCGATTTGCTAATCCCTGTCTGTGTAAAGTCAGTCAACCAGCACTTACCATGTGCCAGGAATCGTCAGAGACTGTAAGAGACAGGAACATTTTGAACTGTCTGGACGTAATGTGGTATAGTGGAAAAAGCAACAGCTCTGGGGTGGAGGACCTGGGTTCAAATTTCACCTCTGATCCTTCCTTATCTGTATGACCTCAGGCAATCACTTTACCTTCCTGGGCCTCAATTTCCTCATCTGTAAAATGAGAGGGTCAAAAAAAGAAATAAAAATAAATAAAAATTTAAAAAAAATGAGAAGTTGGGGGCAGCTAGGTGGCACAGTGGATAGAGCACTGGCCCTGGATTCAGGAGGACCTGAGTTCAAATCCGGCCCAAGACACATAACATTTCCTAGCTGTGTGACCCTGGGCAACTCAAGAGAGGGTCAGACTAGATGAATACTGATATTCAAAAAATAGTTCAAAACCAACATCAGATACTCACTAAGTGTGTGATCTTTGGGCAAGCCACTTAATTTCTGTTTGCCTCAGTTTCCTCAACTGTAAAATGGAGATAATAACAGCACCTAGCTCATAGGCTTGTTGTGAGGATCAAATGAGACAATATTTGTGAAAAGGGCTTAGCACAGTGCCTGGCGCAGAGCAGACACTATATCAATGCTTATTTCCCTTTCCTACTGATGTCCCTTCCAACTCTAGATATATGATCGTATGAATACAATGCCAAATGCAGGGGTTCAGTTACTGGCTGATATTTATAACAAAGGCAGGAACTTGGAGGGTGATTAATTTTTGTTATTGTTGTTTAGTCGTTTTCAGTCGAGTCCAAACTCTTCATGACCCCATTTCGGGTTTTCTTGGCAAAGATACTGGAGTGGTTTGCCATTTCTGTCTCCAGCTCATTTTACAGATGAAGAACTGAGGTAAACAGGATTAAGTGACTCGCCCAGGGTCACACAGCTAGGAAGTGTCTGAGACCAGATTTGAACTCTGGAAGATGAGTCTTCCTGACTCCCAGTCTAGTGCTCTATCCACTGTGCCACTTAGCTGTAAGGCTGGGGAATTACTGTGTGCACCTGCAGCTACATACATGGAAAGACATGCAGACAATACCATGCAGAGGCATAAGCACTGTATCTGCAGTTAGAAGCCTTGGGTTCAAATGCTAGCCCTGACACTTGGCTGCATAATTAAGCAAGTCATTTCCCTTTTCTGGGTTTCAGTTTCCTCATCTGTGAAATGAGGGGGTTGACCTTCCCTCTCTCAGCTCTAATGCCTAAGGCACTAGGCAATATTCATTGATTTGAACGTCTTGGAGAGGCAGCATCGTTTTATGTAGACAGCACTAGCCATGGAGTCAACAGCCTTGGGTACTAATTTTGACTCTAAGCCCTTACCGTGTGATTAGGACCTCTCTGAGGCTTGAGTCCCATGGTACATGAGCATATGTATCCTTGTACCATCTATCTTACAGTGCTATTCCAAAGGACATACGCAGACTTTATGAAACACTGTAGAAGTAACCGCTATTGTGATGACTGCCTTGTTCTGATAAATTATTACCCTCAAGAAACCTTACCTGTGTCTGTTTCTGCAGTGCTGACCAATTTTGTATGTGGAGTACTTTGAAATAACTGTTAAATCAGTAAAAACTGAGAGTGTCTTTCCTTCCTTCCTTCCTTCCTTCCTTCCTTCCTTCCTTCCTTCCTTCCTTCCTTCCTTCCTTCCTTCCTTCCTTCCTTCCTTCCTTCCTTCCTCCTTCCCTCTCTCCCTCCTCTCCCTCTTTTTCCCTTCTTTCCTTTCTTTCTCTTTTCCTTCTTTTCTTCATTTCTTCCTTTTTCCTTCCTTCTTTTCTTCCTTCCATTCTTTCTTTCTTTCTTTCTTTCTTTCTTTCTTTCTTCTTTCTTTCTTTCTTTCTTTCTTTCTTTCTTTCTTTCTTTCTTTCTTTCTTTCTTTCTTTCGTTCGTTCTTTCTTTCTTTCTTTCGTTCTTTCTTTCTTTCTCTCTCTTCCTTCCTTTTTTCCTTTTCTTTCTTTCTGCAGGCAGATGTCTGTAGGTAAACCTAGTCGTAACTAATAATTTTAGTGCCTGAGATTCACTTGAGGTAGAAGGAGACAGACCCTGGGACAATGCTGTGGAGACCACTGTCCATGGAGGGATGACCATAGAGGGGTGGACCATGGCAAAATTCTCTTGGAATGTGGCCTTTCTAGGGAGAGGGAGGAAGCATGCTATGTTGTAGCTTCCACTTTTAGTCATTTTTGCTAGCTAAAGGTTAAATCCAGTTGTTTCTATTCTGTAAAAGGAGTACAAATGCATTCGGCATTCTCTGGATTTTGGTGCCTTTGTGCAAGGCCCAGTAACCTCATCCTAGTTGTGGTTCTGGGTAAACCCCCAGCTCAGGGGTTGGGATATTTGTCATTAGCAACCAGAAGCTCCACTCTTTTTCCACATTTTCCTACCTCACATTGCCAAAAGCCTTTGGGGAGTAACAATGATAGTAGCTAATATCTATATGGCACAAAGCCCCTATATTATTTCCCCATACTAACGTTATGAAGTAAGTATCACAAGTACTATTCTCCTTATTTTAAAACTGAGGAATCTGGGGCTCAGAAAGGCAATATCAAAAATGATTTGCCCTGTGTAACAGTTCTTAAGTGGAAGAACTGGGGCTTGGACCTGAGTTCTCTGACTCCAAATCCAGTTATTTCTGCAGCAGATTATATCATGTGTCACCCCAACTTTACTTGTTTTATAATAATCAATCAGCAGGTGCATATTTAGTAACTACTATGCCAGGAGCTGTGCTAAATGCTGGAGATACAAAGACAAGAGAAGCAGTTCCTGCCCTCAAGGCGCATATGTTTTACTTATATACAAAGGAAATACAAAGATTGGGAAAAGCCTCATTTAGGAGTTACAACGTGAGCTGAACTTTGAAGGAAATAAATATCTCAAGAGGCAGAGGTAAGGAAGATGTGCAAAGGCATGCAGGTGAGAAATGGAGCTCTGTGTATAGGAACCAACAATTTGGCCAAAGTCTGGAGCATGTGAAGAGTGGTAATATGTAAGAAGCACAGAATGGTAGGCTCGATCCAGATTGTACTATTGGGGTAGAAGCAGTAAGACTTGGCATCTGCTTGGATACAAGGTGTGAAGAAGAGTGAAGAGTTGAGACGAGATGAATAATATCTTACATTTTATGATGATTTAAGGTATTCAAAGCACTTCATAAATATTATTTCATTGGATCTTCATAACAACCCTATGACAAAACAACCCTATCATCTCCATTTTACGAGATGAAGAAACAGCCTTAAGTGAACTATCTATGCTCACACAACTGATAAATGTAGGAATTGGGACACTTTATATGTCAAGTTTATTGGGGAAAAAATCTGTTATGGAAAATGATGCTGTTAAGAAGCTATTGATAAAAGCTTTGGTAAAACCAATGTATAAAACACTGTTGTTGTTGTATTGTTCAATTGTTTTCAGGAATGTCAGACTTCATGACCCCATTTGGGGTTTTCTTGGCAAAGATACTGAAGTGGTTTGCCATTTCTTTCTCCAGCTCATTTTACAGATGAGGAAACTGAGGCAAACAGGGTTACATACTTGCTCAGGGTCACACAGCTAGTGAGTGTTTAAGGCTGGATTTGAACTCAGGAAGATGAGTCTTCCTGACTCCAGGCCTGGCATTCTATCCACTGTGCCACCGAGTTGCCCATGTATAAAGCATAGAGAGCAGCTATTCTCCATCTTGAGGACAGTACAAGATTCAATGGAAGATATACATATATATAACTGGGGGCAAGTAGGTGGCACAGTGGGTAGAATGCCAGGTCTGAAGTTAGGAAGACTCATCTTCCTGAGTTCAAATCCAGCCTCAGACACTTACTAACTATGAGACCTTGGGCAAGTCACTTAACCTTGTTTGCCTCAGTTTCCTCACCTGTAAAATAAGCTGGAAAAGGAAATGGCAAGCCACTTCAGTATCTTTGCCAAGAAAATCCCAAATGGAGTCACGAAGAGTCAGACACGACTAAACAGCAGCAAAAGCTATAGCATAAAGAATTAAGATCCCAAAAAAAAAAGAATTAAGGCTAAATGTGAGAGAAGAAATTGGTGACCAGGAAATTTTAAAACACGGCCTAAAGAGTTTTTTTTTTCCTTTTTCCTTCGGTGAGGCAATCAGGGCAAGTGACTTGCTCAGGGTCACACAGCTAGTAAGGGTCATGTGTCTGAGGCCAGATTTGAACTCAGGTCCTCCTGACTCCCAGACCAGAGCTTTATCTACTCCAACCCGTTGCAAGGAATTTTCAAGGGATAACTTTAAGATTATAACAGAATCAATTAGTCAATTATTCAACCCACATTTATCAAGCACCTACTGTATGCTGGGTATTTTGCTAGGTGCTGTGAATACAAAGACAGAAACAAAACACCCCTTGTTCTGATGGAGCTTATATTTGAATATACTTAGAATTAGAAGGGAACCCTGCAAGAGAGACCATGTAGTCCAACCACTTTTTTTTTCTACAAAAGAGGAAATTGAAGTCCGGTGTGAAGTGATTTACACAAGGTCATGATGAATGATAGAGTCAGGATTTAAACCTAGGTCCCCTTGCTCCAGATCCAACCCTATTACCTCTGTCCCATGCTGCCTCTCCAATTATATGTCTGATATTACTGAGCCAGGAGGCTGAATTTGGTTGACTCAACACCATACCTTTCCTCTTGCTACTCTTGTGCGAGCAAGAATAAGGAAGGAGGCTCACCCTGATATGGGGCTTATGGTGAGCAGGGCAGTGGGCTCTTTCTCTTTGGCAGACCCAAAGGCAAAGAGTAGAGAGATGGGTTCTCTCCAATGAACAAGACTGAAATGTTTTCTACCTAATGGTCCTTGAATCAAAGCAGAAAGGGTGTTGGGTTCAGACAGGACTAAATGAGGTGAGAAGCATGATTATCAGAGTCTAATGACAGAGGCACATGCTAGGTTTTCTGATTAGCATGGCCCCTCTGCTTTTTAATTTTTTTAAATTTTTGTTGATGTTTTAATGATTTTATGACCTTCTCACTTTATTCACTTCTAGTGATACCTCTCCTCTCCCTTTCCTCTCCACGGATATGGTAATTTAAAACAAACACAAATTGCACATAACTGGCTGAATAACAACCATGTCTGTGTTCCTCATATTCAACATCCATTACTTCATTTCACCTTTCCTTATTAAGAGGAGGGAAGAGTGTTTCATTAACTCTCTCCTACAACCACTATTAGTCATCACATTTAATCTGAATTCATCTGCCTTTTTTGTATTGTTTTCATTTCTATTATTTTAGTCTTTGTGTATGTTGTTCCCCATTAAAATGGAAACTTCTTGAGAATACTGACCATCATTCTCTGTATGTGTATCCCCAGTGCCTAGGATATAGTAGGTATTTAATAAAAGCTTGTCGATTGATTGAATAATTAGTTGTTTTCCTGGTTCTGTTAATTTCATTCTCCATGAGTTCATGTAAGTGTTCCTATGTTTCTATGATTTCCTCATAATCACACTTTTTAAAAAATAGTACATTCTATTATATTTATGTATAATGTTTTGTTCTGCCCAATTGACAGATGTCTACTTTGTTTTCAGTGTTTTACTTTTCAATTACAAAAAGTGCTTCTGTGAATATTTTGGTATACTGGCACTACATTTTCATGCTTGATTTCCTCAGGGTACATACCCAGTAGTGAGATTGCTAGATTAAAGGATATGAAAAGATTAGTCACTTTTCTCCCATAATTCTAAATGATTTTCCTGAGTGATTGAGCCAATTCCCAGCTCCGCCAACAGTGGCTGACTTCCCAGAGAACCTTATGTCTTTGGTCCTTAACTTTCTTTGATTATAAGATATTTTAGCTGACAGTTTCAAAATATTTTGACAAAATGCCTGTCACTATGGTGATAACCAGTGAGGCTCATAGCCTGTTCTTTTGTTTTCACATATTCTTCCAGAAAGAGATATGTTTCTGCAATCTTGCCACCAAGTCCAATCAAGTTTTCCTTTTCTGTTCTGTTTTCATTGCCACCTGCCCACCCCACTTCCCCATTGCCACCCTGTTACTAGATTAGTGAAATAACTTCATAAACAATCTCAGTCTCTTTAGGCTCTCCCCCTCCAATGTATTTTGCACAGATCCTCAAGAACCTGTTCCAGAACCTGAGATGGTTCTCTATTGATTATCAGATTAAAAATTTATTCTTTATCCTCACCTTTCCTATCCAACATTATCTTACCTTATTCCCCGACCCTTCCCCTGTGCATATAGGCAGCATAGTATAATGGAAAAACATTGACTCAAGAGTCACAAGATCTAGGTAAAATCCAAACTCTGTTATTTTCTACCCATCGGATGAAAGACAAGTCACTTAACTCTCTGAGCCTCAGTTTCTTTATCTGTAAAAAGGGGGTAATAATACTTGTATTTTCTAACTCAGCATTATTGCAAACATTTTATAAATTATAAAAGGCTTTATAAATGTGAACTATTTTAGTGAGTCATGCCAGTCTTCTCACTGTCTCCCAAAGATACCTTGCTGGTTCCTGACTCCCAGCCTTTATTCATATTAGCTCTCCCTTTCCTCCATCTTCTTTTACTCTCATCCTCTCCACTGTAGACGGGTGTAGTGGAAAGAACATGATAGATTTGGAGTTAAGAGATCTGGGTTCCAGTCCAGGCTTACCAGCTGATAGACCTAGGGTAACACTTCATGGGTAAAATGAGGATAACATATCTATACTTCCTACCTCCCAAGGCTGAGCTGTTGCTGCTATTGAAATCTTATTCACTCTTCAAGGATCACCTACTCAGTGAAATTCTTCCCTGATAATTTCAGTCAATATGTGGGTCTTCAATTTCTGATCGCTCACTCTTGTCTGTTCTACACATTTTAGGTATTAGATTTATATTCACTTTGGTACTTGACTTGTTTTGTCTTTCTTTTAGCATTTCAAGTGTTCAAACAATTTTGGTACCTGGACAATGCCATTGAGGTGGGGGGAGATATGGGATATTGTAAGGCTATTGCTGGGGTGGCTGCTGTAAAGAAGGGCTTGGGTGTGCGTGTGTGTGTGTGTGTAGGTGAGCTAAATTCAGGTGGTTGTTGTTTTTTCTACCCTGCAGAAGGAGCATAAATGCTTGACTGTGTCCTTTAAATTTTGGAGCCCAGGGTCAAAGCCCTGATCTTCCTGTCCTAGTTATATAACTATTCCCTAGGGAAATTATGGGTTCTTGAAAGCACAGATCATGCCTTAAGCTTTTTTTTTTAATCTATTCCCTTCATAGCGCTTCACAAGACAGTAGTTACCTAATATGGAACTAATAAAATTGCACTATATTGCATGTTTAAGAAAAGTCAAGCCAATCATCAGACTAGCCTGGCCACCACAAATGGTCCAGGAGAGCCTAGTCAATGACTCCAGACCAAACTCAAATTATTTTCTTTTCTTTTTCCACAAAGGAGTACCAAGTCCCAGGGTTACAGTGGACAAGATGGAAGTGATGGAAGGAAGCATGGTGACAGTTGAGTGTTCCGTTCCTGAGGAGAAGCCCCCGATATATTTTATAATTGAAAAACTGGAAATGAATATCAGTAAGCAGAGGAAAGAAAAGATGGTCCTGAATAAAAATTATGTGACACTGGATTTCCCAATAGAAGAACAAGACCATGTTTTAGTTTTTCAATGCCAGGCCAAGATCTCTTTTGGGAATTTCTTGGAGGCCTCAGAATTCACAAAGAGTGACCTGGTCACCGTGAGAGGTCAGATTTCTTCTTCAACTTCCATTGTTATGTGTGGTATGCAGGTTTGGTTTGGGTATAAATATTTCACAATTTGAACCCATTAGCTGGGCAGTTTTCTCTCAGGACTGTAGCATCTGCTTAAGATTGTTTGGGGGTGTGATGACAAATTTAGCTCTGTGAGTATCAGCAATTATAGAATAGGGAAGGTCAGATCAGGAGGTTCCAGGGCTCCCTATGGAAAATGGCTTTTGGGTCTAGAGGAGAGTGACCTAGACGGTAAGGGGACAGGACACTATAGCATGCAATTTGATTGGAAGAATGTGGGATGTTTAGGTTAAGCCTTCGAAGAGCTATATGAGGAAGAAGAATTAGACTCGTTCTGCTTAGCCCCGGAGGACAAAACTGGGAGCAGTAAGTGGGAGTTACAGAGGGATGGCTTTCAGCTCAAAATGAGGGAACATTTACCACCCTTTAGGTCTATATCAAGGAGGAACAGGCTGCTTTGGGAGCAGATGGGTTCCTCCTCACTCACTAGATGTTTTCAGCCATAGGCTTAGGATTTCTTGTTGGGGATGTTTGAGATTCTTAGGTAGGAGTTGAACCAGATGGACTCTGAGACTGTAATTTTATAGTGCCACATCTCCCAAAGGCAGAGAAGGCCCCTACTAATGGCACCAAGTTGAGTGACGGCTGCCTCCTTTCACCCTTTAAGAATCTTACTGTGAATTGAGTAGATCCTGGATGAAAAGAATCAGTGAAGTGCCGTGGTAAATGATCTCAGGGGAGAAAAGGAAATCAGGCAGTATGGCCTTACAATATCCTGTTCAAGGCATCATGTGGGGAGATTCCAATGTAGTGCTCTTTAAACATCTTCATCCTAGGTTGTCATGACTTCCTTGTCCCCAAACCTTTATATTGACACATACTATCTATTCCCCAGCCCCATTTGTTTTATAGAACAGAGGCAGACTCAATTGATCCACAAGTGTTCATTAAGTGTTCACTATGTGGCAAGCGCCATGCTAGGGATAGAGACAAAAATCAAAAGTCACTTCCCTTAAGGCGCTTACATTCTTCTTGGGGGAAGACAATGTGTACATATATAAATATTTACCAGACAAACGCACAGCAAAGAAATCACCATTCTGGCCAGTAAGTTCTTCCTACTGTTGTGGTCTCATGCAAATGTGCCTGAATTGCTTTGTAAAGAATTTCCAAATGATGCTCTTCAGGAAAAAAAGAAATCTAATAAGTAAACCCCTAATTTGACTCTCAAGCACCATCACCAATCACTTCAAACTGAGATGAGTGTCACAGTCACAGCACAGGGTGCATAACTGGCACAGAAAGAATACAGAAGAAAGGTTTAGGAGGTGAGTGAGCTTATCTCACGCAAGATACTGTTTGTAGCTTGCCATCAAGTCAGAGGTGGAGAACCTGTGGCCTCAAGGCCACATGTGGTCCTCTAGGTCCTCAAGTGTGGCCCTTTGACTAAATCCAAACTTCACAGAACAAATCCCCTTAATAAAAGGTTTTACTCTGTAAAACTTGGACTCAGTCAAAAGGCTGTACCCAGGGACCTAGAAGGCCTCATGTGGCCTCCAGGCTGCAGGTTCCCCACCCCGACCTAACCTCTTCCTACCTTTTCAGTCTTACCTTCTACTATGTAGTCTTTGATCCAATGACACTATTCTTTGAACAAGACTCTATCTCTTGGTTGCAGGAATTTTCACTGTTTGTCTCTCGTGCCTGGGATGCCTCAACCTCCCCTCCTGGCTTCCCTGGCTTCCTTCAAGCCCCAGCAAAAATCTACCTTCTACTGGAAGACTTCTTCAACCCCTCTTGGTTCTAGTGCCATCTCTCTGTTGATTTTTTCCTGTTTATCCTATATATAGCTTATCTGCACGTAGTTATTTGTATGTTGTTTCCCCCATTAGATTCTGAGCTCTTCGAGGGCAGGGACTGTCTTTTGTCTTTCTTCATATCCCCAGTACTTAGCACAGTGCCTGGCACATAGTGGGTATTTAATAAATGCTTATTGACTTATTGACATTATCTAGAAAAGCAATCAATGATTTATTAAGCACCTACTGTTTGTCAGATACTATACTAGGTTCTTAGGATGTAATTGTTGTTCAGTCTTTTGTTCTCCAAGAGGACATCAGGAGAGCGATGTCTTGACTTGCAAGTGAATTAGATTTAAGTGAGGCAGAGCTGTGCAAAGTCATCAGCCTCACTCTCTCCTCCAGAGACGCTGGAGTCCAGTGGCAAGATATAAGACTAGCAATGGCCCAGGATGCTGAGAGAGACCTTGGCCTTTTTAAGCTAAGGTCTTTCCCAGCTCTGAGGCAATGCCCATTCAGTGATTTAAGGCTAGGTTAGAATTGAGACAAAAGATAGCCTACTTTGCCTTCCCAAAAGAACAATCTGAGAGGGAAAGACCTTCAGAGTTTCTGGCCAGGATAGAAAACAATTGCTATTTACCCTCACTCTGAGCCATCCCAAACCTCAGAATATAAAGAGGATAAATGAAACAATCCCCACTCCCAGGGATCTTAAATTCTAACCAGGAAAACCTATATTAATACATGCAGAATGTATATAAAGATAATACCTACAAAATAGTTAAAAGCAATGTAGTTTACAAGAGAGACATTAGCTATTGGAAGGTTCAAAAAAGCCTTCATGCAGGGTGTGGAGCTGAACTGAGTGGAAGGAAGAAAGGGATTTTATGTGAGAAAGGAGTATGCTGCAGGAATGGGGGATGGGCAGTGCAGAAACCCGCAGGTGGGAGATACGAGTACCATATGTGGGGAACAGAGAAGAGCAGTGAGGCTGGATCAGCATAGTGTGAGGGAAGAACGGTGTTCTCCCAAGGTGAAAAAGATAGGTTGGGGCCAGGTTGGGAAGGGCTTTATAAAGCTAAATAAGGAGTTTGTATTTTATCCTCGATACAATAGGGAGCCATAGAGTTGATTTGCACAGGGGAATGACATTGTCAGATCAGTGTTTAAGGATTGTGCCGTTGGCAGCTGTGTGTAGGATGGACTGGTGTGAGGAGAGGACAGGGAGAGCAATGGGGAGGACATCTCAATAATCTAGATGAAAGGTGAGGTGGGTTTGGACTGAGGTGGTCACAACTGTATGAGTAGAGAGGTGTTGTGGAGACAGAAACAGCACGATTTGGGAACTGACTGAATATATGGGGTAAGGGAGAGTGAGGAGCCAAGGATAAAGCCAAGGTTACAAATCTTGTTTGTTAGCCAGAATGGGGAAGCACATCCGTTGCTAGGGGAGAGAGTGTTGGAATAAAGTCAGGAGACCTGGGTTTGATTCTGAGCTCCCACCCTTGGTATCTATGCCACCCTATGTGGATCATTTAACCTCCCTGTGTCTCTGTTTTTTTAAATCTATAAATTGAGGATAATAAGAAAATCATATTTGGCCTATTAGTGTTTTTGTGAGGCAAAGTGGTTTTTTTTTTTTACATTTCTTTTTATTTTTCAACATTCACTTCCACAAGATTTTGAGTTCCAAATTTTCTCCCCATCTCATCCCTCCTCCCACTCCAAGATAGCATGCATTCTGTATACCCTTTCCCCTAATCTGCCCTCCCTTCCATCTCTCCCCCCCTTTTCTTATTCCTTTCCCCTTCTATTTTCCTGTAGGGCAGGATAGAAGTCTATACCCCATTTCCTGTATATCTTAATTCCTAGTTGCATGAGAAAATAATTTTTTTTAATGTATGTTTTTAAAACTTTGGGTTCCAAATTTTCTTCCTTCCTCCCTCCCCACCCACCCTCATTGAAGAGGCTATACATGTTTCATATACATGAAAAGGTTATACATGTGTGGTCATGCAAAACACTTCCATAGTAGTAATGTTGTGAAAAACTAAGTATATTTCCCTCCATCCTATCCCACTCCCCATTTATTTTATTCTCTTTTGACCCTGTCTCTTCTCAGAAGTGTTTGCTTCTGATTACTCTCTCCCCTGAGGCAAAGTGTTTTGCAAACTTTAAAGTGCTATATAAATGGGAACTATTATTATCATTTTTGTTTGCTTCTAAATCAGACTGCAGAACGGACTTGAAAGACAAGGAGTTTTGTCACTTAGGAGGCAGAAGAAAGTCGTAGTTATATGCAGTGTTAGGAGAAAGGACGGGACTCTAAGGGTGAGGTTCACATTCTCAGTGTTATGCTCTGCTTCTCACTCTCACTCATCGCATATGCGCAATCTATTTTCAGTTCTTATTGTTTCTACTTTATGTCAGTCAATAAGCAGATATTAAGTACCTACTGTGTGCCAAACACTGTGCTAATTACTTTTACCAAATATAATCTCATTTGATAAGATAAAAAGGTGAAATAAGGTAAGAAGACTGGAAAAGTGGGCCAGGAGGAGCTAGGTTATGCAGAGCTTTGAATGTCAAACACAGTATTTTGTATTTGATCCTGGAGATGATAGAAAGAAGGGGAAAGGGAGGTGACATGAGTGGACCTTCAATTTAGGAAAATCACTTTGGCTACAGAATGGAAGATGGGTTGGAGTGGGGGGAGATGAGGCAGGCAGACCCAACAAGAAGATTATTACACTAGTCCAGATGTGAGGTGATGAGGGCCTGAACCAAAATGGTGGCAATGTCAGAGGAGAGAAGAGGAGCTATTGGAAACATGTTGTAAAGGTGAAATTGACAGCCTTTGGCAACAGATTGGATATAGGAGGTGAGAGATAGTAAGGAGTCAAGAATGACACCTAGGTTGGGAGCCTTGCATAACATCTCTTGAATATGCACCCTTTTCTCCCTATACATATTCAAAGACAAAATAAAGTAGGAGAGTGGAAGGGCACTATGACTATAGAGGGGGAAACATGATCATGGAAATGCTTTGAGGAAAACAGTGGTTTACAGAAGGGAAGCATCAAGGAAAATAGAAGTAACTTCCCGTTTCTTAGTAGAGAGGGGACTTTGCATGTGGAATGGTGCATATGGAGACCTGGTTCATGTGTAAACTTGTTTTGCTGAATTGTTCTTTCTGAAGGTAGGTAGGGGAGTCTAAGGGAAAGGAGGAAGGGGAAGTGAATGATGTTTTAAAAATAGTAAAAGATGGATGTTTAAAAGAATCATTTTGACCCCATGCCCAAGAACTCTTTTGTTCATTCTTTTGCAGAAACCTTTTCGATCCCTAGTTTCCAAATAATACCCGAAGGAGAGATCACAGAAGGAGACCCGCTCAAACTTAAATGCACAATCCGAGTGACGCATATGTTTCGGGAGAACCGAGAAATCATCATCCAGAAAGACAGAGAGATTGTGGCATATACTAAGCAAGGGACAGAAGTTACTTACTCTCCTCCACTAGCCAGAGTGGAACACATTGGGAACTATACCTGTAAAGTCGAATCCAGCAAGATATCTAAAGTCAACAGTGTTTTCATCAACATCACAGGTGAGAACAGCCACTAGCATGAGCTTAGCTTTGAATTGGAGAAAAATATTGTGGAGATTAGCTGTAGACTCTAAAACATTCCTGTCCAATAGGAACTTGCTGCTTCCGTGCATTCATTAAATATTTTTGGTTTGCCTATCCCCATGCCAAACCTTGTACTTGGTGCTAGGAGAAATACAAAGATTGAGAAAATACTGTACCAGCCTTTGTTGTTACAGTTGTTATTATTCTTATTTTCTTCTTCTTACCTTTATGTTCAATGGAGCTCAGATAGAGACAGTCCTAGCTTAAGTCACTATCCTGCTTCTATTTTTTTTTTTTGATGTTTATCATTTGGTGAACTTGTGCTGGAGAAATACAATAATTGATCTTTTGCAACTGAATGAAGGTACTAGGTTGCAAGCTCACCTTCTATACACTTACTGAAAGGATTTTCAGAATAAGTCTCATACTAGATAAGGTGAATGGGGTGATGTGTTCCTTTTTCCACTTGGTTTTGATTTCTTCAGCTAAGACTTTGTATTCTTTCTCTATTTTTGACAATAATTTACATTATATTAGAATTAGCTATTCTTTGAATGTTTGATATAATTTACTTGTAAATCTATTGGTCTGGGGTAGTTTTTCTTTGGGAGTTTTTTAGACCAGTTTAATTTCTTTTTCTGAGATTGATTCTTCAAATTCTCTATTTCTTGTACTGTTAATCTGGGTATTGTATATATATTTGAAAATATTTATCCTTTTCATTTACAATTTTGTTAGCATGTAGTTAGTCAAAATACTTTCATATAATATCATTTAGTCACTCTTCCTTTGTTGTAAATTCTTCTTTTCTATTTTTAATATTTGCAATTTGATTGTCTACTCTTTTATTAGATTAGTTATTAGTTTAATTTCTTTATTAGCTTCTTAAAGTTCCTAGTTTTATTCATCAATTCAATGGGTCATTTTTGATTTTCAGTTTTGTTTTGGTTGGATTTTCATTTGGATTGGATTGGATTTTCCTAATTTCTATTTTTTGTGTTGAGCTGGAATTTTTCGATATTTTGTTTTTTCTAGTTTTCTGGCATGCCCAATTCAGTAATCCGTTTCTTCTCCCTTTTACTGATTAAAGTGTTTAGAGATAAAGATTTTCACCTAAGAACTTTGTTGACAGCATCCCAAAATTTTATTAAATTGTCTCTTTTTTTTTCATTTTTCTTAAAGAAATTATTTGTTGCTTGTATTATTTAGTTCTTTAGGATGAAATTATTTGGTCTCCATTTAAGTTTAAAATGTTCCTCCCTAAACTTTTAACTTTTATTGATTGTAATTTTATGTGATGGGCAAGAAATGTGTCTAATATTTATGCTTTTCAGTACTGGTTTTAATCACTTGGGACATGGTTAGTATTTGTAAAGTTGCCATACATAACTGAAATGTATATGTGTGTGTGTGTGTGTGTGTGTATGTGTGTATAAATAGATAGATATAGATATGTATGTATGTATGTATACATGCCTTCATATTCTCTTTTAGTAACAGTCAGAGAGCTATTATATCTAACTTTTCCAAAATTATATTCAGGACATTACCTACTCTCTTATTTATCCTTCTGTTACTTTTTCTATTTCTGAAAGGGATTGCATTGAGGTCTCCCACCACTATAATTCTACTGTTTATTTTTCCCTATAATTTGATACATTTTTCCTTCAAGTACTTAGATGCTATGCCATTTGTTCTATAAATATTAAAACTTGATATTATTATATTATCTTTGGTTTCTTTATGCATAATGTAGCTTCACTGCTTGTCTCTTTTAACCACATGTATTTTTATTGTTGCCTTTTCTTTGATCATAATTGCTACCCTACTTTTTTGAACTTGCCTGTAGCATAATACATTCTCCTCCAGTCCCCCATTTTAACTCTGTGTAAATCTTTATATTTAAAGTATATTTCTTGTATGCTACAGACTGCTGGATTCTGCTTTCTAATCCATTATGCTACATACCTCTGTTTTATGGGCGAGTTTATATAAATCAATTTCATGATGTATATGTTTTCTTCTTTTCCTTCTATTCTCCTCTTTATGATGAAAAAGAGAAGTGGAACAAAAGAAGGAAACTCATTAACACTAGTAATCTTTGACTGGGGTAGCTAGGCAGCATAGTGGATAGAGTGCCAAGCCTGAGATCAGGAAGACTCATCTTCCTGAGTTCAAATCTGTCCTCAGACACTTACTAGCTCTGTGACCCTGGGCAAGTCACTTAATCCTGTTTGCCTCAGTTTCCTCATCAGCAAGAAATGGCAAACCATCCCAGTATCTCTGCTAAGGAAACCCCAAATGGAATCACAAAGAGTTGGGCACAACTGAAGTAATGGAGCAACAACAATAATCTTTAAATGCCATACCTGTTCCTTCAACTCTATCCTTTCTTTCTTCACCAAGCCCAAGCGCTGATCTCAGATATTTATGTTTTTCTTCTCTCTTCTTAATTTCCCTCACCATTTTATGAACCCCTGTCTGAAGCTGAAGTTCATTTTGCTTGTGACTGTTGTTTGTCCTTCATTGTCAGAGGACCAGTAACATCACAAGAGTGATCTGCTTTGCTTGTGACTTTTCCTTCCCCTTATCTACCCAACCATTTATATCTTGCTTCGCCCTTTCCCTTTTCCACTGTTGTTCATTTCTACACCAAACTCTTTGTGTGCATTTGTGAGATCATGCAATGTCTACTTCCTCTGCACATGTTTGTATACTTTTTCTCTATATTTGTGTACTTTTTCTTATGCACCCCATTTATGTAATATAATAAGTTCTTTCTGCATCCTGAATCAATTGTTTCTCCATTAGGAGGTAGCAGGATTTATCATCAGTCCTCTAGAATTGTGGTCAGTCATTGCATTGAGCATAGTTCTTAAGTCCTCCAGAATTGTTTTTCTTTATGATGTTATGTTGTTATCATCACTTCATGCAAGTCTTCCCAGGTATCTCTGAAAACATCCCTTTGATAATTTCTTATGATAAAATAACAATCCATTAATGATATGCCATAATTTGTTCATCTATTACCCAATTTATGGGCACACCACCATTGTTTTCAGTTCTTTCCTACAAAAAAAAAGAGCTAGTGTAAATTTTTTTTTTTTTTTGCACATAGGTACTTTTACTTTTTCTTTGATCTCTTCAGGGTGTAGGTTTTGTAGTGGTTTTTCTGGGTCAAAGGATATGCATAGTTTACTGACTTTTGAGGTAGTGTTCCAAACCACTTCCTAGAATGTTGGGACCAAACATTTCTCCACCAGTAGTGTACCTATGTGCCTGTTTGCCTGTAGCCCCTCCAATAATTGTTGTTTTCCCTTTTTGTCATTTTTGCCAATGTGATAGGCAGAACCTCAGAACTGTTACATTTTAAATTGAGTCTTTATCTGGGGTTGCACAAGATTCCCTGAGTTGGTCCCTGTTATGTGTTTATGCCATTCTGGATTGCATAGAAGAGTTTATTTCTGTTTTTTTATCTTCTTCATCATTGGTATTTCTGGGGTCCTTTTCAGATATTCACTGGGGATTGTTTGGGTGAAGTGAGCTTCTCCTCTATGACCATTTTCGTCAGCATCTCAACTGAAAGTCAACTCCTGTTTCTGCAAACAGATTCATTTGACTTAATCATTTGTTCAACACCTCTTTGTGGACATGTTTTTGATTTCTTGTGGATATCATCTTTTGGTTCCATTGCTAGATCTTAGCTATTTAATAGGCTCTGTCTGGAAGTAAACTAGTTATCAGTTACCTTTGAAAAGTTCCCCAGTGGTGTGCATCTTCTCAGCATCAACTTTTCCTCTTTCTCTGTCAGGAAATGTTTCTGTAACTTATTAAGATCCCTCCTAGCTCTAAAACTATGAGAAACTTTTTTTCTTTTTTTACCTTCCCATTCTGCAGAATCAGGAGGTGCTAGTTTAGGCAATGTGACCATCAGAGAGATTTTCTGTTTTCATATTGTAATGTCTCTCTCAGATCTTTTTTTCTTACTTGGCAGCTGGACAGAGAAGTGTCAGCTTGGAATTGAGAGACTGGAGAGTGGAACACACATTATTCAAAGGGACAATTTGGGCTGGATTTAGGAGAGGAGTCTGTCTGTCTCTCTGTCTGTCTGTCTCTTTCTCTCTCTGTCTCTCTCCTTTTTCTGTCTCTGTCTCCTCCCTATACCCACCCCCCTAACCACACACACACACACACACACACACACACACACACACAGAGCTTATCAGGAAACAAACTAGATCTCAAAGTAGGAAGTATGGTACAGTGAAAAGAGTGTTGAATATGGAGTTTACGGACTAGGGTTGGAATCCTGGAGCTGCTGTTTACTAATTATATGACCTTAGTCAAGGCATTTAACCTTTGAGGGCTTTAGTTTTCTCATTTGTAAAATGCAAGGATTTGATTAGAAAATGTATAAGGTAGTGGTATCTTCCTAAATGTTTAACAATCAGCTCTACAGGAAGGAAATGTACGTACAAGATACTTTAAAATTTAATCTGAATTATTAACATTTTCTCCATCACTTTCTTAAGTCTAGACAATAAATGAAACAATAAATCAAGCCCTGATTTGTACAGTCTGACAAATTTCCAAGATGTAAATGTTCACACTGAAAATAAAATAATTGGCTCTTGTGAACTGGTATGAACTGGCTGCAACATGCCATTAGTATAAAGTTTCTTTCAACTCTAAATCTGTGATCCTATGATCTACAACTGGCCTAGTGTAGAAAGAACATTGAACTTGGGTTCAAATCCTGCTTCTGTCACTACTTGAGTGATCTCAGGCAAGTCACTTCATTTCTCTGGGCCTCAGTGTGCGTCATCATCACTATCATTTACATAGTGCTTTAAGATTTGCAAAGCACTTTACAAATATTATCTTATTTGATCCTCAAAACTGTGGAAGGTAGAAGATATTATTATCCCCATTTTACGGATGAGGAAACTGAAGGTAGGATTTGATCTCAGGTCTTCCTGACCCCAGGTCCAGTAGTCTATCCACTGTGCCCACATAGTCGCCCTCTTGTAGAATAAGAGGATTGGAGTAAGAGATTTTTAATGTTCCTTTCAGCTCTGATATGCTATAAGTCTGTGATTCCCTGGTTACAAAACATTAGGATTTTTGATTTAAGAATTTAACAGGTTGATCTCAGTTCAATTCAACATACATTTACTTAAATCTTGCTATATTTAAGATATTATGTATGCTAAGCACAAAATAATATCAACAAAACAATCAGCCCCTACGCTTAAGAAATTTGTATTCTGCTGGAGCCTTAACTATGGACACAGTTTACATACAAGATAATTTGAGGAGAGGGTGAACATTAATTACTAGGAGGATCAGGAAGAGGCTTCCTATAGGAGGTGGCACATGAGAGGAACATTTATTGAAGCTGAAAATTAATAATAATAATAATAATAATAGCTACCATTTATATAGAACCTACTATGTGTTGGGAACTGTGCTAAGTAGTTTGCAATTATTATCTTATTTGTTCCTTACAAAAACCCTGGGAGTTAGGTGCTATCTTTTCTCCATTTGACAGATAAAGAAACTGAGGCAAATGGACATTTAAGTGATTTTCCCACAGTCATACAGCTAGTAAGTGCCTGAGGCTGGATTTGAACTCTTGTCTTCCTGACTCCAGGTCTGGCATTAGAGCAGTTAAGTGGAAGTGAGGAGAAAGTACATTATGGGGCACAAGAAATAGCCTATGCCGAGACGGGGTGCCAGAGCTGGAATACAGGGAAGCCAATTTGGCTGGAATTTAAGATTATATGGGATAGGGACTGGACCTTAATTTCATTGCTACAATGATCTCCTAGATGAAGAAAGTACATCTACCAGTTCAGGTCAGCACCTTCTAAATGAAAGGTTTGCCTAGAGCATTGGAAGATTAGGTGGCTTGCCTTGGATCATGGAGACTGTATGTGTCAGTTGTGGGGCCAAGAACCCAACTCTTTCTGGTTTTGAGACCAATTCCCTATCCACACTGCCTCTCTAAGAGTACAGAAAGGGAAGTAATGTGAAATAAACCTGGAGAGGTAGGCTGGTGTTAATCAATCAATCAATAAACATTTAATAAGCACCTACTATGTGTCAAGCACTGTGCTAAGTCAGTCTTTGAAGGGCAAGCCTGTTATCCTTTTATCTCTCGTGGGGTGGACTGTTTGTTTCTGTCAAAAAATAGGTCAGTGGAAATATCCTCCTAGCGGGTATTCCTTTCCCTTTCCTTTAGTAGCTTTGGAATGGTGCCCAATCACACATCATTCCTGCTCTTTGTTCTTTACAGAGTTATTTTCCAAACCTGAGCTGTTGATTTCTTCCAACCATCTGGATGAAGGTGGGAAGCTAGACCTGTCCTGTCAGATCTCAGGGTCCCCACTTGCCAACTTCACCATCCAGAAGGAGAATACAACAATAACAAATTCTCAGAACTTTACGAAGAGGGTCTGGGTACATGACAGTGGGACATACAGATGCCTTGCTGCAATCCGCAATGTCATCAAGGAAAGTGATCCAGTACAGTTATCTGTTTTTGGTAAGTAAATATTTATTTGTGTGTAGGAGACTAAAAGATGGAAAAGACTCTGAACAGACCTGTTGCTTAGCTAGTGCCCAATTCTAAGCAGGATTCAAAGGTGAGTCAGGAAGTGGAAGGACGGCCACTAAAGAAATGAAGAAGCCAATAGAAAAGGAACACGTATCCTGCAGAGCATTAGCACCTTGGAGCTGTGTCCTAGAAAAAGTTCTTTACCAGCATCATTATTGCTTCTCCTTGACCACTTGACAGAAAACATTAACTTTAAGGCTTGGCGGAGACTCGGCAAAGTTCTAACTTGTCTAAAGAGCAGCTTGTTTGAACAGACAACTCAAGAACATTGCTGGGGATTTTAAGAAACTTTCTTTAAAAACAAAACAAAACGTGTTTCATCTTTCTGATGGTTCCTCCTATTGGTTTTAATTTTTACTTACAACTTCACTAATGTGAAAATATGTTTAATGGGTATGTAAATGTAATTGTGCGCCTGTCTTGGGAAGGGTGGGGGGGAGGAAGGGGGAGAAAAATTTTCAACTCAAAAGCATATGGAAGTGATTGTTGATAAATCAAAATAAATTAATAAAAAAACAAAACAAAACAAAACCCAACTTCTGATGCTTTGTCCATGTCTTGGAGAATAGGCTCAAGGGTTGCCCCAACATGGTAGAGAGGGAATAGAGCTGCTTACATCAAGAGGAGCAAAGTAGCAAACAGAATGCTAAGCACCATACCAGGATGTTGCATGCCAATCCAGTTCAATTAAGTACAACTCTACAAGCATAAATACCCTCAGTGGTATGTGAATTAATTGGGACAAGCAATAATTTGATATGGTTTCATTTACTTGTGTTTCTACTGAAACTAGGATGATTCATAATGTTTGACCTTGACCCACTGAAACTGGAGGGAACTGGTTTCCCCATGTTTTGTCAGTCATCCATCAGTTGTGTTAAATTTCTTTTTTTAAATTTTTATTTATTATTATTATTATTATTATTTTTGGCTACACAATGGGGTTAAGTGACTTGCCCAGGGTCACATAGCTAGTAAATATTATGTGTGTGAGGCCAGATTTGAACTCAGGTCTTCCTAAATCCAGGGCTGGTGCTCTATCCACTGCACCAGCTAGCTGCCCCTGTGTTATATTTCTTGTGTGTGTGTGTGTGTGTGTGTGTGTGTGTGTGTGTTTCATGGTTCTTGTAATGGTACCCTTCCCCTGCTTTTTTGAGTAGGAGACCAGCATGGTCATAACTGAGCTTTCATTTTATGGGCTCTGTCTTGGGCTATGGTTTTACTAACAAAGCCAGAAGTAGCCAGGCTAAAGTTGGTAAGCCGGTCAAGTGGGACAGGTCATTGGATTCTCAATCAGTCTGACTGCTCTGCACATGACTAAGGGGCATAGCAAGTCATCATGATGTGAATGTTGCCATGAGCGTCAGTGTTGTTGGTATTGATATAGTGTTGGTGCTGAAAATTCATTCACTCATTCAACAAGCATGTATTAAGCACCTACTGACTGTAGATCCTACTATACCAAGCCCTGGGGGAGATGCAAAGTTTAGCTAAGATACAGGTTCACTTTCAGGGAGCTTATAATCTTGGAGGGGAGTGGAGGGTAAGCTGCCAGCATAGATAATTCCTACACAGTATTATGTGAGAATGAATTAAAGAAGTGTCAAACATAATGTTTGTAGGGGGGAGTGGAGAACAGAGGTAATTGGTACTAAATATTCAAAAGCACAGGGCTAACAGAGTCAAGGTCTTGGCTTCGATCTCTGAGCAGGTCAGTTAGCATCGCTCAGAATCAAACCTGATCCCAGACATCAACCCTATTCCTAATCACAATTAGTGATGCTATTGACCACAATGTCAACTGAGCAAAGAAAATGGCTTAGTCTAAGCCATCCCCACCAATTCAAAAACAGCTCATTCCCTGGGATGTCTCATTAGGAGCATTATTTTCACTTACAATGACAGCACATTTCTGATGGCTTTCTAAGGTGCTTCCCCAAACACCTTACTTATTGTGATAATAATAATCATTATTATTATTATTTTGTCTGGACCTGTGATTTCATTGGTGTAGGCAATTCTAATAATGAAATTTCCTCTAATAGAGGAATGCGTTAATAATGCATATGGACAACTGTTCTATAACTTATGGTCTAGAGGAGAACTCAAGTGACTTTCCCAGGGTCAGTATGCATCCTTTTTGCCCTTATATGTCTGAGTAAGGAGATGGCTCCAGGTCTTCTTGATTCTGATGCTGTCTCTCTGTCTGTTGCACCGCACTGATACTCATGATTATCGTAATCATTATCATTTATTATTAGGAACATCAGCACAGGATGGACTCAGGTAAAATAGCAAAATCAGTGGAAACTGCTATTTGCTATGCTGGGAATGCCCCCTCTTCCCCACCTCTTTATTTCACCTGTGGAATTCCTACCTATCTTTTAAATCCCGGTTCAAATGAGAATCCTTCCTTGATCCGCCAGCCTCCACCCACCTTTTTCCTTACATAGCACCAACACTATATCAATACCAACAACACTGATGCTCATGGCAACATTCACGTCATGATGACTTGCTATGCCCCTTAGTCATGTGCAGAGTAGTCAGACTGATTGAGAATCCAATGACCTCACATAGCATTATGTTTGACACTTCTTTAATTCATTCTCACATAATACTGTGTAGGGATTATCTGTGCTGGCAGTTTACCCTCCACTCCCCTCCAAGATTGTAAGCTCCCTGAAAGTGAACCTGTATCTTAGCTAAACTTTGCATCTCCCCCAGGGCTTGGTATAGTAGGATCTAGAGTCAGTAGGTGCTTAATACATACTTGTTGAATGAGTGAATGAATTTTCAGCACACTGGTCTGTGAGACTATATTTGTGTCAATATTAATCCTTAAAATTTACAAACTTTACTGAACAATTGAATGGCTCCATTGGAGCAAATGATCATCTTTTCACCTGTATTACTGTATTATCTTCCCATAGGGCACTGGTAAGGATATGTTGTCCATATATTTATGCGTCGATAAGGGGGCACGTGTGAATACATAGACATGTATGTACAGACCTCCCCTAAATAGATAATATTGTCTCCCTTATATTTGTTGAATGCTTTATCATCCCAAAGTATATCAATTCAATATAATAAAATGCAAGCATTTTATGTCTATGTGCTAGGCATTAAGAACACAGAAACAAAAATGGGTGAGTCCCCAACCTTAAAGAGCTTTTCATTTGTCTGGAAGTCTTAACCATGATCTCGTTTCACCCCCACAGCCATCCTGGAAGGTGGATAAGGACGACATCATTATAAATATATTCATGTATTGTTTCCCTGAAGCAGAATGTAATCTTCTTGAGGGCAGGGGTTGTTTCATTATTATTTTTGTATCCCTAGCATGCAGCTTAGTGCCTGGTATATAGCAAGAAATGAATAAATAGCTTTCAAAATTAAATTGAATTTTTTAAAAGAATGAAGAAATATCTAAAATTCAGTATAATATTTTGGAGGGGAACATTTTTTGTCACCTTTCTAAATGATGAGACTGATTGGGATGTTTCAATAGGTCTGAAGTACTACTTTTATATTAATTCAATAAAGATTTGCTTTTCTCTTTCCGAACTTATCCCAATCAAATCATTGTTTGTAGAGTTGGCCTTGAGCAACAAATCTAATTAAGTACACTATGTAGCATTCCATATTAGAAAGAATGAATTTCAATAGTGGCCCCAGTACTTTCTCAATTATTTTTTCTCCTTTTTTTCTTCAGAAATCGTCTCTAAGCCCAGAATTTTTCATAACTCAAAATCTGAAGTAATAAAGGGACAGCTCTTAGAACTCTATTGCCAGTCAATAAATGGGACACCACCTATCAGGTACCATCTTTGTAAAATGAACGCATGTAAGAGTCATCAAGAAATGTATTCCAACGAACCAGCAAGATTCTTGGACAGGCCCACTGCCACAACGGAATATACCTGTGTCGCAAAAAACCACCATTCTCAAGGGTCAGTGGCTAGTGATGTCTTGAATGTCGTGGTGATAGGTAAGTTGATGTGCAAGAAGGAAAGGAAATGCTTTGATATCCTTAAAAGGACCCTATTGCTGTCCCTGGGGCTTAAATGATATTTTCAGAGATTTGGGTATGCCCAAAGAACACTGAATTTGGAGTCAGAGGACATGGGTTTGAATCCTGGCTCTGTCATTTATTCCTTGTGTGATCTTGATCAATTCAATTCAACAGCTATCTGTGAAGTGACTGATATGTTCAAGGCACTTTTGTTACTGTTGCTCAGTTGTGTCTAACTCTATGTAACTCCATGGACTTTTTGTCCATGGGTTTTTTTTTTTTAAGGCAATTGGGGTTAAGTGACTTGCCCAGCGTCACACAGCTAGTTAAGTGTCAAATGTTTGGTCTGAGGTTGGATTTGAACTCAAATCCTCCTGACTTCGGGGCCGATGCTCTATCCACTGTGCCACCAAGCTGCCCCTCTTGGGGTTTTCTTGACAAAGACCCTGGAGTGGTTTGCCATTTCCTTCTCCAGTGTGTCCCCATTGTACAGATGAGAAAATGAGGCAAATAGCAGTTAAATGACTTGTCCAAGGTCATACAACTAGTAAGAGTCTGAAGTCACATTTGAACTCAGATCTTCCTGACTCCAAGCCTACTGCTCTATCCACTGCACCACCTAGCTGCCCTCTACTGGTGATTAAGAGACAAAAAATAAAATATTACCTATCATTAAGGAACATACATTTGCACAGGCCTGGCACATAGTAAGTACTTACTAAATGTTTATTGACTGATTGATGATAATGAAAACAATAACAACTCTTTCAAAATCCAATGTATCACCCATGCTATGGGCAGGGGGGCAAGCTTCTAAGCAGGGGCCAAGGTGATAATGTACAATGGGAATTTTAGATTTCTATAGCAGCTATGAAAGCCTAGCCTGAGCCCTAAAATACTGACAAATTAGCATGTAACGATCCCACCTATTGGGTTAGCACCCAATGAATGTGTTGCAATGGCTTGAAAGAGTTAAAGAAAAAAGACATGATGTCATAAGTTTGCAGGGTGGTCCCCCTCTGAATTCAAAGACTTAGTACAAAGGTATTATATGCAGTGAACATTGCCTTGGTGAGAACCACAAGGTGAAAGGTGGAGCTATCATCAACCCTACCCCCATCCCATGGCAAAATGACTTGAGAAAGCCATGGAAGACTTGAGGAAAGACACTAGAAATTATGTCGGTATCTAGCACTTATGTGTAGGAGGAAACTTAAATTGCCCAAATAAAGCAACAGAACAAGAACATGCAGAAGGGTATGGGGGAAAAACAAGAGTACATTAGGAATTCTAGATTTCCTGAAATCAAAATCAAAAAGTTAAAGTAAGCACAATGAATAACACAATCAATTCAACATCAGTTTTGAAATTTCACTCCAGAAGCTTGAGAATCAAAGAAATCAAAGAGAGAGCACCTCGCCCCCCAAAAACAAAGAAAGATGAGGGAAGTTTCTGGTTATCATTTGTGGTTACAAGAAGTCCAACATAATAAAAAAGCAAAGTAGAGGCAGCTTGGTGGCACAGTGGATAGAGCTCTGGCCTTGGAGTCAGGAGGACCTGAGTTCAAGTCTGGCCTCAGACACTTGACACTTACTAGTGGTGTGACCCTGGAAGAGTCTCTTAACCCCAATTGTCTCACCAAAAAGCAAAAAACAAAAACAAAAACAAAAGCAAGGTGGATCAGACAGGAAACAGAAAGTTGTGTACCTTTGATGTAACAAATGTTAGAACAATTCTCTCAGTCAATATGGAGGATTAGCATGGCTTGGTGTAGGAAGTGGCGACTGAGCTGAATCTTGAAGGAAGTTAAGAATTCTGAGTCAGAGGTTAATAGGGAGGACAGTCTAGGCATGGGGGACAGCTTGGGCAAAGCCATGGAGGAGATGGAATGTCATGGAAACACAGGGAACAAGTTGGTCAGTTTGACTGGAAACTAAGGAGAGTGGCATGTAATTAGTCTGGAGGGAGTTAAGACCTAAGCTTGAAAAACACTTGAAAATATCTGTGATTTCATTACAATGGATATTCCTTCCACCGTAGTACTAAAAAGTAGTTCAAAACCTGGTGGCCTAAGGTTTCTTTTTTTTTTTTCTCCAGCTGTAATATTCCATGGTATAAGTACATAAATCAAAATATATGTGAAGTAATATGCCAGCACAGTGATTAGTGAGAAGCGTTGCTTGTTGAAGAGGAGTATGAGGTAAAGAGAACTGAGTTAGCTAGCCAGGGAAAGTCTCCTGGAGAACATGGGAATGATTTGGTTTGAGAGAGGAAGTGAATTGGCAGAGGAGAGAGCAATCCCAAAGCTAACAAAACTAGGGAGGAGGTGGTGTGGTACTGTGAAAAGTGATGAATTTGGAATCAGAGGACTGAATGAAAATTTTAGCTCTGCCACTTTCTACCTGTGTGATCTTGGGGAAGTCCCTTCACCTCATGTAGACTTACTTTCCTCATCCACAAAGTGAGGCGGTTCAGGTTGGGTGGACTCAACGTCCTCTAAGTTCCCTTTCAGTTCTCGTCCTATAACCCTACTATTCTGTGTGCTTTCCCCTTAAAGTTTGTGAGGTTGATAGTCATTTAAAATCTCTCGATTCCTCAGCTACTTCATTTGTAAAGTGAGATAACGGTATGCTTATTGCCTATCTCACAGAGTTAATGTATAATAATGGAATGGGATATTATCTGTGAAGTATTTTGTGCTAGGTAGATGCCAACTGTTACTATTTCAGAATCATAGAATATAATATGGGAAGGAACCTCGGCGACCATCTAGGTCAACCTAAACTTGAACAAGAATCCCCTTTACAACATTTGTATTGGGTGGTTTTCCAATTTTGTGAAGTACTGTATTCACAATATAGGCTTCTATTAAAACCAGCTATCAATGATGACCGTTGCCTATTCTTTGTCTCTCCCTCTCTTTTTATTTTGAAGATCTTTATCCTATTTCTTTTCTTTTAGTTCCAGTTGCCAGGGTCAACTTATCCATTCTGCTCCATGGGGAAGTAGAAAGTGGGAAAGAGGTCGTGCTCCGGTGCAGTACAGATGAAGGATCTTGGCCAATTCACTATAAGTTTTACAGACATGACGTTGCAGACCCCTTTTTTGAAAAAACCTCGAATGACACTTATATGATCTGGTACAAGTCCCATGCCGGCAAGGAGGATGAGGGGCAGTATTACTGTATAGCTTCCAACAGGGCCAACATTCATGGCAAGATGCCAAAGAGTAACATTATTACTGTCAAAGGTAAGTCAGCACCCATTTAGTGATTTGTGCTCCCTGAAGGGCATCACTGACAATGAGGGAGCTATTTCTGGGAGACAAGGTGGGATAACTTTTTAGAGCAAAGGTTCCTGGTCTTTACAACAGTGGGAATTCTTTTTTAATGCTCCACAAAGATCCTAGGTATTAGTAGATTAAGAGAAATACAAAATAACAAAGACTCATTACAACTTCAACAACACAATGACAAATGTATTTGTATTTTATTCATTACCGTGGCATCTACATACATTTGAAAAATACTGATACATATATGTATAAGACAGTATTTATTCTTTGTATGGCAGTGAGTATGTTACTTATATATAATAGTGAATCATTTGAGATTGACACCTTTTAATAACTCAGGTGATCCACAGCCCACAGGTTGGGATTCACTGTTCCAGAGTATATTCAAGAGAATACGAGACCCAAGTCTTGTGTTTAGGTTTGCCACTTGCTAAGTAGGACAGGCTGGTGTAGTATAGCAGTCAAATTTGAAAATTTGAAAACAGAGAATAAGGGCTAGAAACCCAACTCTTCCCCATATACCTGTGTGACACTGGATCTCAGTTTCCACATGTGAAAAATGAATAGATGATCTTGTTTCACCTCAGTTTCCCCATCGGTGAGGCATCTAGAATCACTGATCTCTTAAGATGCTTTGTGGATTTAAATCTTGTGATCTAATGACTCATTTTCATTTCAGTAGTCATGGTTATCCTCTCTGGGAAATTGAAAAGACAATCTGAAATCTACTTGTCTTGAAAGTTGGGAGTGAAGGTAGTTTGTGTGATGCCTATACACCCTGAGCACTTCAGTGAAAAATGCTAAATTTGAAGGTAGTGGCAACAGCCATCAAAGCGAGTTTAACTTTTTGTGTTTCCCTAAAAGCAGTTTCTTGAAAGTCCAGAAAACCTCCTGTGTATTTGGAGAGATAGTGTGATGTAGTGGTTAGAGCACTGAACGTGGAGTCAGGAAGACCTAGGTTCACATTACACCTCTAGCTACTTGTATACCCATAGGCAAGTCACTTAACTGCCATGTGCCTTAGTTTTCTTTTCTATAAAATGGGGATATCAACCAATCAATAAACATTTATTAAATCCTGCTATGTGCTAGGCACTATGCTAAGCACTGGGAATATAAAAAGAGGCAAAAGACAGCTCCTGCATTTAAGGAGCTTATAATCTATTGGGGAGAAAACATGGAAACAAATGTATACAAAGCAAGCTATATAGTAGATAGATCAATGGGAAATAATTGATAGAGGGAAGGTACTAGAATAGAGGGATTGGGAGGGAGGAAAGCTTTCCATAAAAGATGAGATTTTAGTTGAGACTTCAAGGAAGGCAGGGAGTTCAGTAGGTAGAACTGAAGAGGGAGAGCTTTCCAGGCATGGGGGATAGCCAGAGAAAATGCCTGGAACCAAGAGATGGAGTGTTTTGTTCATAGAACACCCAGGTGGCCCCTATCACTGGACTGAAGAGCACAGTATTAGGAGTAAGATGTAAGAAAGGTAGGAGGGGGCTAAGTTATAACAGTAATAGTATCTACCCCACAGTGTTGTTGTGAGCCTCAAATGAGATGACAAATGTAAATTCTTTGCAAATTTTCAAGCATTATACAAGTGTGAGTTATTATTGATTTCATTTTCAGTCACTCTTGCTCCATGGATGAAGGGTCTTATTGCAGTGGTCATCATTGGTGCCATAATTGTTGCATTGATTCTTGTGGCCAGATGGTACTTTCTTAAGAAAGCAAAGGGTGAGTAGTGTGTCTTTTTTTTTTTCATCCATGAATTGCTCTTGAAAAGAGCCCAGTAGTGCTATTTTTCCAGTCATTTTTCAGTCATATCCAACTCTTCGTGACTCCACTTAGGGTTTTCGTAGCAAAGATACTAGAGTGGTTTGCCATTACCTTCTCCAGCTCATTTTTACAGAGGAGGAAACTGAGGCAGACTGGGTCAAATGATTCACCCAGGGTCACATAGCTAGTACATATTTGAGGTAAGGTTTAAACCAGGTCTTCTTGACTCCAGGGCTTGGTGCTTTTTCCACTGTACCACTTAGCTGCCCATATATAGTAAGTCTGAGGCCAGATTTGAACTCAGGAAGATGAGTCTTCCTGACTTCAAGCCCAGCACTCTATCCACTGCACCATCTAGCTGTCCCTGCAGTGGTAGATTTACGTTATAAATACGGGGCTCCACTTCTCAGGGGCCTTGGTAATTATACTACTGTGTGGTGCATATGGTGAGAGCTGAGTAGAGTATCTTATGATATTCTTGCAGCACAGGAGAGTAGAAAAAGAACTTTGGCGTCAGAGGGTCTGGGTTCAAGTTCTTTCCCTGCCATGTATTGATTGTGTGTCCTTGGGCCAATCACTTTCCCTTTCTGACCTTTATTTTGCCCAGTTGTAGATTGGATTAGTTCCAGCCCTCAATCTACGATTCTAGGCTGATGGTAATCTTTAGTGTGTGGCTTGCACATCCGAAAATCCGGAGATCTGGATGCTAGTCTCATTTTGGCTATAATCTTAGTGTGTGATCTTGGGGGACTACTTCTTTTTTCTGAGCCTCAATTTCCTCATCAAGTAAAAAACCAAAGGAGGTTGAATAGATCTGGGGTTTTGTGAGTTCAGCCTGGGTACTAGGCTAGATACTTAGATCCTGTACTTATGAGTCTGGAGATGTTGCCAGGATAGAATTAAAGGTATTACTTTCTCCATTGGGAGATGGAGGAGGTCAGAAGGAAGGAATTTTTGATAGGCTGCAAATCTATTTGAAAAGAGACATGAAATTAACTTCCTAGTGCTAGATTTTACCTGTGTTTAAACTATCTAAGCCGATCCCTTAGGTTTGATCAGGGCTGTCCCTAATGATAAGACAGGGGTGGTATAATTTCAGAGAGAAAGCCATTCCCAACTCTGCACTTCCTTTCAAATATTTCTTCCTCACACTGTTACAATGTATGAAGTGTACACTGTAAGTCAATTCTTTGAGAGTAAGTACCTGTTAAAATACAAACATACAAGTACAAAAATATACCAAAACTTTATTTTCTGCTGATGCCCTAGCTGAAGATAGCCTATCACTTTAGCTAGCCAGTCAGCAAGGTCCTGAAAGAATGGAACATTGAGGATACCTGAGCAGGTCAATGTGTGGCTAGGAGAAGATCCTGAAGGTCTGAACTGGAGTGTATGTTGCTTTGGCTATGTCAGAGAGGGAGAGGTGTAGCAACATAAGCAGCCACAGTGGCAGGCCCTGGGCAAATAGGAGCAGTGTGAGGACACTAGGGAGAGAGGGGTGTCACAGGGATGATGGAAAGAAACATTTTAACTTTAGAGTCTTGCCCTGGGCTGGCCCTGGATTTAGCCTGTGTCAGTCTAGAACTGAGAGCAAATGGGTAGACTCAATTTACTCATTTAAATTACGCAGAGATGGGCTCTAATTGAAAAAAAATCTGAATCTATAGTGAACCACGGTATGTTTGATAGACCAATAGATTGCCTGGATTAGTGCTTGCATGATTATTCTATTCCAATAGACAAGATAAGTTCAGATTTTTTTGAAGCTTGATTTCTTGCTCTTGTGAGACAGGGCATATATGGCCAAAAGGATGACAGTTTTTTGTTTATTTGATTTTTTTTTTACTGTAAATTAATTTGACTTTGAAATATTGGAGTACTGAAATTCCTTTTCCCTCTTCCTTTGCCATCGAACATGATTTAGATGCAATATATTGCTATCTAGTCAAGTCACTTACGTTACTCTTAGCCTCATTGTCCTCGTCTGTAAAATGAGTATAATGATAGCATCTGCTTTATAGGGCTGTTGAGAGTTTCAGGCAAAATTTTATATGTAAACTATTTTGCAAACTTCAATGCACTATGTAAACACAATCTATTATTATCTGTTATTGGGATACAAAAAATTTTAACATACTTTTTCTTTTCCCTTCAAAGCAAAACAGATGCCAGTGGAGATGTCCAGGTCAGTTTGTTTATTCTGATGAAAGAGGTTGAAATTGACTTATGAAGTGAAGTTAGAGAGGGAATAATTTGTTAGTCACTTTTGCTCGGAGCTAGAGAATGTTAAGGGCTTTTCACCATGCAGACACTCTAAAAGGGTCTCTGGGATCCCTAGTGGGTCCCCAGGCGCCATTTGAGAGCTCCTGTATTCCTGCTTCCTTGAGGGATGAGACTGTGTTACTCCAATTCAACAGACATTTGTTAAATGTCTACTGTGTAAAATATGTTTATTTATGTAATCCCTAGAATACCTAGCAGATAGAGAGCTGGCCTTGGAGTCAGGAAGTCCTGAGTTCAAGTCCCATCCCTGACACATGTTGTTCTTCATGATCCTCGTCAAGTCACCTCTCAATGTTCTAGGCCCCTTTCTAAGACTATAAGTTGCAGAAAAAGTGCTAACATTGGAAGAGGGAGTTCCTGCCCCTGGGAGTTCAGTGAAATCATAGGTCCAGTCCCTAAAACAGGGCCTCTTCACTCTTGGAGCTTATAATCTGGTGCTGATACTGCAAAACTGAATAATTCTTATTTGAAATACTTTGCATGGATAAAAGGTATTAACATAGGAAAGCTCAACAGAAATTGAGTCCCTACAAAAATAAACAAAATTCAAATATGGATGCAGAAATTCAAACACATTTTCATTTACTCATGGTCACTCCAGACCATATCCGGGCAAAACAACTCACTTAAGAAAAATGAGTAGCCCAGGAAATAGAGAGATGAATAGGATTTTGATCCATGAAGTCATTCAACAATAATTAAATGCTTGCTATGTGTAAGATGCTGTGCTAGCTTCTGTGGAAAATACAAAGATGAGTCAGGCACAGCCACTCGTATGAAAGATCCTCTGACCCAGAATGCCAAGTGATATATTTGAGACCCACCAAAATACTAAAGAAAATATGATAGCGCTTAGAAGACGTATGAACAAAATGCCATTGTGATGGGAGTTCACAAGAGGGAAAGATACTTTTTAATAAGGGAGGTCAAGGAAAGCTTCACAGAGCAGGTGGAATTTGAATTAGACTGTGCAGGAAGAATAGAATTTTAAGATGTAAGGATCAGGGGACAGGGAGCAGGGGGGTAGATTCTAAAAGCTTCTCTCTGCTTTCTGGTGTTTGATCTTCAGTGTGTAGGAAGAGCTCAAATCTTTTAGCATGTTGCAATATTTTGGCCTTTTTAAAGCCTACTTTTTAAATTAGGTAAAAAAAAATTTTTCCACATGAGAAAACTCTCCTGGGTCTTCCCAAGACCATCTCTTGGGTCATATTTTGTTCACTCTGGGTTGGTGTCAAAGGCCTCATATGTATTTCTTTTTTTTCTTTTTTAATTTAATTTTAAGGCCAGGACCACTCCTGAACTCCAACACTGAGAAGATGCAATCTGATCCCAATGTGGAAGCTAACAGTCACTCTGGTATGGCATCTTGACTTTCCTTCCTAACAGAATATGTTTTCTCTAAGCAAGTCTTCTGAATGTAACAAGCACTTTTCTATTATGCTCTACTCAAAGCTTGCCTTTCCCAATTGTCTAGTCTGGCTAGATTTTTGCCATGCTTTTCTATTTCCTCTATTAGAATTCTGAGTTACACATTGAACCATCCTTCATAATGAAGACATCATTGAGGTTAGAAATATATAAGAGAAAACACAAAATACTTCTGGCTGTTGAGGTAGCTGTATGATGAGATGATTTGGAGTCAGAAAAACTGAGTTCAAATCTATCTGTGTGACTTTGGGCAATCAATCAACCAGAATTTATTAAATGCTTATTAGGTGCTAGTGATCACACTAGGAATATAAATTCAAAGGCAAAAGTCTCTGGCCTCAAGAAGCTATATTCTAGGGTTGGGGGTGGAGGGAGAGAATACAACATACTTTGCTGTTCTGTCATTTCAGTTATGTTCAAATCTTCATGACCCCATTGGGGGCTTTTGTGGCAGAGGTATTGGGGTGATTTGCTGTTTCCTTCTTCAGCTCATGTTACAGATAAGGAAACTAAGGCAAACAGGGTTAAGTGACTTGCCCACAGCACACAGACAGTAAGTGTCTGAGGCCAGATATGAACTCAGGAAGAGGGCCCAGCACTCTATCCATTGTGCCACCTAGCTGCCTTAGATATAACATACTTATACATAAGTAAATATAAGCTATATACAAAATTATATGAAATAATTTAAAGACTTAGGAAAGACCTCTTGAAAGAGATAGCAGTTGAGTCTTCATGAGAGACAGTATTTCCAAGAGGTAGAGGTGAGGAGGCATCAGGAATAGCCTATGCAAAGGTTTGGAGGTGGGAGATGAAATGGTAATTCATTTTCAAACCTCAAGCATTTATTAAGTACTGTGATGCCAGGAACTGTACTAGGTTCTGGGAATACAAAGACAAGACATGAAATAATCCTTGGCCTCCAGAAGCTTCCATGTTATTGGGGAAATATCTTTACCAGATTTAATTATACATAAAATAAAGATTCCAAGAGGCTGGGGTGAGAAGAGGGTATATCTCAAGCATGAGCACAGAGTGTACTAAAATATGGAGATGGGATATGGCGATGGGGGTGCAAGAAGCAACGCGTTTGGCCGTTAGGAGAATAATGTATAATAAACCTGCAAAAGTAGTTTGGAGACAGGTTGCGCCTTAAATGATAAACCAAAGAGTTTGGTTTTGATCTTTTTTATATTTTTGTTTCTTCATATTTTTTCTGAATATACTTATATACTTGATATTCTTAAAAGTAGTAATATTTTTCATACTTGGTATTTGTGTCCCTAGCACCTAGCACACTGCCTGACAATGGTAGGTGCTCACTAAATGTTTGTTTATTGGGAGCTTCTAGAGTGTACTAGACAGGGAAGTAAGCTGGTCAGACTCGTACTTGAGGAAAAATTGCTTTGGTCACTGCATGGTGGATGAACTGGAAAGAAGTGGGAGATACTTGAGGCAAAGAGAGTAATCATGAGGCCGTTGTGATGGTCCAGGAGAGAAGTCATGAGGGCCCAAAATAGGATGGTAGAAGAAGGAGACAGGTACAAGAGACATGGAGGTCGAACCAGTAAGTTTTGGCAACTGTCTGAATATGTAGTTTGAGGCAGAATGAGAGGTCAAGGACAATGCCAAGTTTTTGAATCCGGGTGAATGACAGAAGTAAGGAAGTTCAGGAGAAGAGTGAATTTTCAATAAGGAAAGATTACAGGTTCTGTTTTCAACACATTAACTTTGAGATGCCTACAGGACCATTCAATTCATAGCGTCCAATGGGAAGTTGGTCAAAGCAAGTCACTCACCCTTGCTAGGTCTCAGTTTCCTCTTTTTTTTTTTAATTGAGGAGGTTAGACTACATGACCTCAGAGGTCTCTTCCAATTCTAAATCTAGATGTTTCTTCTAGGGCAGAAGGTTTTATCTTAAATGGTTTGCCTTATTAGTATGAGTCATTTTGTTTTCTGTTTAACTGAACTAAATGGGAAAAAAAACCCACCACATTTCATTCCCATCAAGATGTTGATATAAAACCGAGTTTCCCTTGCCATGAATACTAATTAAATTGTATTGATTTTTGAATTAGGATACAATGATGATATTGGGAACCATACAATGAAACCAACAAATGAACATAAAGGTAATTAACGTCCTGTCCCACTCCAAATTCCTGATATTGTCTAGTGTTTTTCATAAGAAATGTTTATTCATATATAACAAAAGAGAAAAACTTAATCAGGACTCCCACATTTTTTTCTTACTTTTGTTAATAACTATGTCTCAGTTTCCTCATCTGTAAAAATCTATGCTTTTCCTCTCTTTGTCCCACAAACAAAACACTCCATCTCTAGGCTCTGGGCATTTTCTCTGGCTTCCTCTCATTTCTGGAATATTCCCTGGCTTCCTTTACATCCCATCTCAAATATGATCTTCCACAGAAAACCTTTTCCAACCCCTCTTAATTCTAAATCTAGTGCCTTCTCTCTGTTAATTATTTCTCATTTATCCTGTATATAACTTGCTTTGCATATGTTTATTTGCTTGTTGTTTCCCCCTGTAGGGACTGTCTTTTGCTTCTTTTTGTACCCTCATGGCTTAGCAAAGTGAATGCATGTAGTAGGCGCTTAATAAATGTTTATTGATTGATTGATCTTTATGCAAAATATACCCACAAGTTATTTCTCCCTAAAAGAGAATTAACTTAAATACTGGAAGGAACAATATGGATTAGATGTGTCTCATTTTCTTCATCTCTCATGCGTAAATGAAGAGTTTGGAAGAGATAATCTCTGAGTCTCTTTCTAGGTCCAACATACTGTGATTTGATAACAAAGATTTCTTGGTAGCCCCCATCGTAAATCCTAAGCATGAATTATTGAATCACAGACTGTTATCACTAGAATGATCTTATAAGTAATACAGGTTTCAAAAAATTACTGATGCATTTCGTTTTGATCCAATAAATACTACCTAACAAATACTCGAAGTCCCTTATGTCCCTCTGAAAAACAATACCTTGTAGATAATATAGTTCAGCCAAGTCTTTAAAAAAAACCCTTTTCTCTATTATTTTCAATGAGCATTTATTTTCTCTACTTCCCACCTTCCCTTCCCCAACCACCCATTGTAAAAACAAAACCCATGTAACAAATATACACAGACAAAACAAATTCCCATGTAGGTCATATCCAAAAATATATATATATTATTCTACAGCTGCTTATAGAGTCTTTCTGTCTAGGAGGCCAACCCACATATTTTGCAGATGAGAACACTGAAGTCTAGAGACAGATTGCATAATGTACTTTCTGGGGAATCTTTAAAAATTGCATTCTTATCTGTTTGCCCAAGATAACAGAAAAGACATTATGCCTAGAGGTAGGGGGATAGACTGAGTACACTTTTAGAGTTCTTTCCAGCCTTGGGATAGCACAGAAACTAGAGGGTATAAATGATTAAATTTTTTGTAAAAGGCTTTTGATATACTATGTATAATATATACACATATACATATAACACACACATATATAGTTAAGATCAAATGGGTTATATATGTACAAATATGCAATAAAGACAAAAATATGCATATGTGCACACATATATGTATATAACCCAGCATAATAATTACATATATGCATGTAGATATAATATATACAGACATAACCCAAGATTAGTATACATTTGTATATATATGTATATGTACACACATATAACCCATTTGATTTTAACTATATATACCTATGCATATAACAATATGTATACCATATATATACCTATATATATGTATATAGTTAAGATCAGATGGGTTCTATATGTGCATGCATGTAGATATATCCACATGTACATGTGTTATACATGTGTTTGTATACATACATATATATTCTGCAGTGCTCTGCTCACACGTTACCTCTGTCATGTATGAGGACACCATTTGACCTAATATATTTAGTGGGGAGAACACTATAATTAGAGTCCATAGGCATGAGTTCTAGGCCTAGTCCTGCTATTTATTGCCTTACTATGTGATCTACAGTTGAGTCCTACAACTTGGTGAGCCTAGAGTTTCTCATTAACTCCATTAGCCCCATAACTCATTAAAATGAGTTAAATAGAATCATAGAACCTCAAGGGATTTCAGAGGCCATCTCAGCCAAACCCTGCTCAAAGCAGGAATCTCATCTCTAACAGTACTCATAAAGCAGTCGTCTGACATTCACCAGAGCACTCAAAGGGACAGGGAGCTCATTAGTCCTAAGGCCAATCATGTTATTGTGCAGCTCTCACAGTTAAAGAAATTTCCCTTATATTAAGTCAGAGTCGGATTCCCTCTAATCCATTGCTCCTGGCTCTGTCTTTTGAATGTTTGAAGACCACTAAAATGTGCCCTTGACACTGACTGGGAGCCCTGCCTCCTGCCTCCCTCTTAGAAATTAGCATTACAGTAAGAATATGTGTTGTGCTTTGAGCTCCTTGGAGATAGGTACTACCTAATACATAGTGTTATGATTTCTTTGTGACAGAACCTGACCATTTGAATATGGATGTGGAATACACTGAAGTTGAAGTCTTGACGCCTGATCTTCACAGAGGTAACTGACCATTTGATGCTAATAGGTCACTGTAGTTTGTTGATTAGCTGAGTGAAGACAGCAGGGTTGAGGGTAATGGTTGACTCAGTCAGTTTAGAAACTTGGAGTCACCTGGGTCACAGTCAGTTTAAGTGACTGGCTTATGGTCAGTATGTGTCAGAAGCAGGACTTGAACCCAGGTCTTCCTGACTCCAGGGCTGACTCCCTATCCACTAGCCCATGCTTCTGAGAATGCATGCAGCTTGGTCCTTAGGGAATTAACAGGAATAAAGAGTAATTAGCCAAACCCTCAGTTCAGACTGCAATTTACAAAACTTGACTAACATCCAGCAGGAACTTGTAAAAACGAGTTTCATTCCTGGGAGGGAAACAGATGTTTTGACTTGGTACATATGCATTTCACTGCACACGCTTAGAGTGTAGACAAAGCAGCTCTGCTACTAGCCCACTGTGTAACCTTGAGCAAACCGTTTCCTTTCTCTTGGGACTCACTTCCTTACCTATAAAATTAAAGGGTTGTTATCAGTGGAGTCTGATGGCCCTAAGATCCAGCCTCTGCCTAAGGATCACCAATGAATCCACTTTCCGAGGCATTTTGGGGAAGAAAAGCCTGAATTCTTAGGAAATTTTCCCTCATATTAAGCCAAATTTTGCCTGTCTGTAATTCTGCCTCCCCCACCCCCACACATTAGATTCTCATCTATAGATTGGCTTTTTTTTTTTTTGAGGTGAGGCCCACAAGCATTTCTTATTTCCTCAGTTCTGCACCAGCTTGGTAATAGATCAACTTAAAGGACAGAATTTGGGCTTGGCAAGTGTAGAGGAAATATTCAAATGCCAATTTCCGTTACTTTGAACATCATGGAGAATTTTAGCTAGAAACCACCTTTACTTCAATTCACCGCCTACTGACATGTATCGGAAAGAAATAATCCTACAGGACTCTCCATTTCGGCTTGGCACATGAAGCTGTAAAATTTCATTTATTTATTTATTTGTTTTTGGCTTTTATTTAGAATTTAATTTTTCCCCAGTTACATGTAAAAACAATTTTTAACATTCTTTTAAAAAAATGTTGAGTTCCAAATTCTCTCCCTTCCTCGACCTCCTCCTCCACCAGCTGAGAAGGCAAGCAATTCAATCTAGGTTATACATGTGTAGTCATGCAAAACATGTCCATAATAGTCATGTTGTGAAAGAAAACATAAGCAAGGAAAGAAACTCAAGAAGAATAAAGAAAGTTTCAAAAAATTACGCTTCAATCTCTATTTAGACACCATCAGTTCTTTCTCTGGGGATGGATAGCGTATTTCATCATAAGTCCTTCATAGTTGCCTAGGATCATTGTATTGCTGAGGATAGCCAAGTCATTCACATCTGATCATCCAACAACATTGCTGTTACTTTGTACACAGTATGTTTCACTTTACATCAGCCCTTGCAAGTCTTTCCAGGTTTTTCTGAGAGCATCCTGCTCATCATTTCTTAGAATACAATAGTATTCCATCATAGTCACATACTGCTAGATACTTGTTCAGCCATTCTCCAATTGATGGACATCCCCTCAACTTCTAATTCTTTACTCCCAGAAAACTGTTGTTATAAATATTTTTGTACATATAGGTCCTTTTCCTTTTTTTTTTTTAATCTCTTTTGTGATACAGACCCGAGTAGTGGTATTGCTAGGTCAGAGGGTATGCATGGTTTTATAGCCTTCTAGGCATTGTTCCAAATTGCTCTGCAGAATGTTTGAATTAGTTCACAACTTCACCAACAATGCATTAAAGTCTCATTTTTCTCACATCCCCTCCAACATTTGTCATTTACCTTTTCTGTCCTATTAGCCAATTTAATAGGTATGAGATAGTACCTTAGAATTGTTTTAATTTGCATTCTCCAATCAATAGTGATTTTTTTCATATGGTTATAGATAGCATTGATTACTTCATCTGAAACTGATCATAACTTTTGATCATTAATCAATTAGGGAATGACTCTTATTTTTATAAATTTCACTCTGTTCTCTATGTTTGAGAAAAGAGGCCTTTATCAGAGAAACTTGCTTCAAAATTCTTTTCACAGTCACTATTGCTAACTGTATTTCCCTCCATCCTATTCCCCTGCCCCTGTTTGTTCTATTCTCTTTCTCCTTTCACCATGTCCCTCCTCAAAAGCATTTTGCTTCTGACTACTCCCTTCCCCAATCTGCCCTCCCTTCTATCAGCCCCCTCTTCTCTTACCCCCTTCTTCTCCTTCTTTCCTGTAGGGTAAGATAGATTTCTATCTATGTGTATGTTTGAGACAATTATGATGAGAATAAGGTTCATTTATTCCTCCTCACTTCCCCCCTCTTCTGTAAAAGCCTTTTCTTGCCCCTTTTAAGTGAGATAATTTACTCCATTCCACCTCTCCCTTTCTCTTTCTCCCAGTACTTTCCTCTCTCACTCCTTAATTTTATTTTTTAGATATCATCCCTTCATATTCAACTCAGACCTCTGCCCTCTGTCTATGTATACTCCTTCTAACTACCTCAATAATGAGAAAAGTCTTATGAGTTACAAATATCATCTTCTCATTTAGGAATATAAATAGTTTAACCTTATTAAGTCTCTTATGAGTTCCCTTTCCTGTTTGCCTTTTTATACTTCTCTTGAGTCTTGTATTTGAAAGTCAAATTTTCTATTCAGCTCTGATCTTTGCATCAAGAATGCTTGAAAGTCCTCTATCTCATTTTTTTCCCCTGAAGGATTACACTCAGTTTTGCTGGGCAGGTGATTCTTAGTTGTAATTCTAGCTCCTTTGCCCTTCCAAAATATCCTATTCCAAACTTTCCAGTCCTTTAATGTAGAAGCTGCTAAATCTTGAATTACCCTGACTGTGGCTCCGCGATACTAGAATTGTTTCTTTCTGGCTGCTTGCAATATTTTCTCCTTGACCTGGGAACTCTGGAATTTGGCTATAATATTCCTGGCAATTTTCATTTTGGGATCTTCTTCAAGAGGTGATCAGTGGATTCTTTCGATTTCTCTTTTACCTTCTAGTTTTAGAATTTCAAGGCAGTTTTCCTTGATAATTTCTTGAAAGATGATGTCTAGGCTCTTTTTAGGATCATGGCTTTCAATAATCTTAAAATTATTTCTCCTGTATCTATTTTCCAGGTCAGTTGTTTTTCCAATAAAATATTTCACATTGTCTTCTATTTTTTTCCACACAATTTTGGTTTTGTTTTTATTGTTTCTTGATTTCTCATAAAGTCATTAGCTTCCATTTGCTCCATTCTAATTTTTAAGGAATTATTTTCTTCAGTGAACCTTTGTATCTCCTTTTCCTTTTGATCAATTCTGCTTCTTAAGGCATTCTTCTCCTCATTGGCTTTTTGGACCTCTTTTGCCATTTGGCCTAGTCTGTATTTTTTTGTGTCTCCTTTCCCAAGCTGTTGACTCATTTTTCATGATTTTTTTGGCATCACTCTCATTTCTCTTCCCAATTTTTCCTCTACTTCCCTTACTACTTGATTTTCAAAATCCTTTTTGAGCTCTTCCGTGGCTTGAGACCAATGCATATTTTTCTTGGAAGCTTTGGATATAGGAGCATTGACTTTGTTATCTTCTTCTGAATGTGTGTTTTGATCTTCCTTGTCACCATAATAACTTTCAATAAAGGTTTTTTTTCCCCCCATTGTTTGCTCATTTTCCTAGCCTATTAGTTGACTTTTAACTCCTTGCCAAAGTAGGGCTCTGCTTCCAGGGTGGAAGGCAAACTGTCCCAAGCCTCAGGGATTTTGTGCAGCTGTTTTCAGAGATACTTCTAGGGACCTGTAAGTTTTCAGTTCTTCCAAGGTGGTATGACCTAAGGCAGGCCTACACAATATACATTCTGCAGGCTACTTTTGGGCAGCCTATGAAAATGTAGAGTTGCCATTGAGCACTCTCTCCTGTTTGTCACGTGACCTGTGGCAACCAACCATAGTTAGTCTGTCTCTACTCTAACCTATCTGAGGCCCGAAGAAGTTTAGCCTATTTTAATTTTGGCTCCTACCTACTGTCAAATTGTGTAAGTCTGATCTAAGGAGAGGTGTTTACTCTTATGGCCTGTGCCACTGGTCTGTGAATGACCACAAGCACTCTTTTCTGCTCTGGAGCTGTGAGGAGGGTTTCCCCTTCACTGTTGCCACAAGCTCTATTATGCTAATGCTCCTTCTTGCCCTGGGACCACCACCCAGGCCTGCGATCTAGATCTGAGCATGGGCAAAGCAACAAAGACCTGTCTCAGTGCTGGCAAAAAGACGCCTGCAATCTCTCTCTGACCAGTTGCTCAATCTTCTCGAACCTCGTCTGTGAGTTGAGAGTTCTGGAAATAGCCGCTGCTGCTGCTCTACTGATTCAGTGGCTCCCAAGGCCTGTTCCTGGTTTGTTAGGGCAGGGCTGTGCTGTCTCAGCCTGTGCTGGACTGTGCCCCATTCTCACTCAGGTGAGACAGACCCTTTTGGCTGACCTTCCAAGTTGTCTTTGGCATCTGTGAGCTGAGAGGTCTGGAAATTGCCTCTGCTGCCAGTGATTCAGTCACTCTGAGGCCTGCTCCGGGTTTGCTGGGGCCCAGTCTGTGCTATCACCGCCTGTGCTGGATTGAGCTCTTCTCTCACCTTGGTGCAACAAACCTTTTCTGTCCACCTTCCAAGTTGTCTTCAGCTGGAAATTTATTTCACTCCTTCCTTTTGTGGGTTTTGCTGCTCTAGAATTTGTTTAGAGTCATTTTTTAAAAAGGTTTTCAGAGGGGTTTGGAGGAGAGCTCAGTTGAGTCCCAGGATTTACTCCCCCATCTTGGCTCCACCCCGAATCTGTAAAATTTAAACAAGGCCCTTAATCACCCATTTTCCCTGACCTACCTTCATTCAGGGAAAGGGCAGTCTAACTATGTCTATTTACCTACAGAGCAGTGGTGGCATTTGCTTAAGTGTGGTGTGAACCAGGATTGCAGATTACAATCCTGATTTTGGCTTC